CCGACAGCCCCCACCTGGCACCGCCTCACCGGCCCGTGCCAACCGCCGCCATGTTTGAGCTGCGCCCGGACTCCACGGAAGGGGCGGGGCGGGGTTCCCCCGCCCCGGGCCGCGCCCACCGCGGCCCCGCCCCCAGGCTCCGCACCCCCATGTTTGTTGTCAATGGGACCAGGCTTGCGTTAGCCAATTGGCGCGCGAAGCGGCTCATGGGGTGATGGCGCGTCATCGATCAGCAGCTTAGATTTGCATAGCGGGTCTCCGCCCCTCGCGGTCTCCGACTGCCAGCGGAGAGTAGCCGCCGGCCCCGGTCCCGGCCTTCCTCTGTTTTAAAGGAGCCGCTACTTTCCGTTGGATCGGCTCCAGGAGCAACTTCGGCGAGAGTCCCGGAAAAGAAGGGTTAACTAAGTGCTGCCGTCCGGCACTACCTCTCACCACCGCCCCCTTACGCAGTTAGCAAATTACGTCATCCCCCCTGTTGCCTCTCCCTCACCCTAGCCCGGGGTAGAATCTTAGTACCCCAACACTGGGGGTAGACCATCCAGGCCCTGCGAGTCACACTTGTCCCATCCTGACAGGGTCTTCACTCTCCTGCCCACAGTCTTTCGAAACCTCAAGATCACCCCAGGCCTTTAGACAAGGTCATTTGACTAAGCCCACCAATGGCCTCGAGGTGGGTACCGAGATTGCGAAGCATCCCACGCCTACTGTCACCTCACTGCGTCATCTTACAGGTGGTCACACAGCACACAGAGGTGCAAACTTCCGAGGATTTATCGAGGAAATAAAAAGCTTAGTGTTCAAGGAAATGCTGAGCAAATACATACACGTTCAAAGACATTCACCACAAAGTTCTCGGTAATGGGAAAGCCGAGACGCACAGGAAGGCACCAGATACATAAACTACCTCCACACGGTGGTAGTTCGTGGTATCATTAAAAAATTATGGAATGGACATTAGAAAAAGGACATAAGTGTGTATTTACTGACAGGGGGAAGATTTTCATGACATGCATAGGAGAGCTCCCTGTGAGTCTGAGGCAGCTCTTTTAGGGGTGAGACCTGAAGAACATACAAGCTGTCTGGAGAAACTTGTGGACCTGATAATCCACCGTGTGCTCTTGGGCTGGTTAAGCAACTGTTGCTAAGCCTGTTTTGTCACCTTCAAAACAGCACAGTTGTAATTTTCACATTTATTTGATTTCTGTTGCAAGCAAACAGCTCTTACCTTCAAGGTTTGTGTGTTGCAACTGCTCTGAGTGGAAAGGTCTCCCCAGTACAGGTGTCGCAGCCCTGAGGGCTAAGGTTTCCCCAATGCTGAGGGGAAAGGTATTCTGGCAGTCAGGCGCCTGGGAACACCAAAGTCACACTGCACAACAAACCTCACACCAGATTTATTAGGAGAGGGACAAGAGGGCAAGAAGCAGCAAAGAACTGAGCAGAAGACAGGCTTCATACAGGGTGTCTTGATGGGGTCGGGGGAGCTTCCCTGGGTGGCCTGGGATTAGTGGGATTCTGTAGCCTGATTTTAGGCTTGTAGGACAGAGCTTGGCTAGAAATGGCTGATGGGATAGTCTGGGGGGCGGGGCCTCACCACTCAGGAATCTTCAGGGCTCACTCTAGGTACTTCCTAGTGTGTATGTATCACCAGAAACACTGAACATGTCCAGCGGTGAATGACGCACACCTTTTACCCAGGGCCCAGCACTCGGAAGGCAAGAGGCAGGAGGATCTCTGTGAGTTCGAGGACAGTGAGTTCCAGGACAGGCAAAGACAGAGAAAAGCCTTGTCTTGAAAAACAAAACAAAAATCACTGAATATAAAAATAACAAGACAGTGGTACAAGTAACCAAGGAAAAATAAAAGGTGTGGTGACAGCAACAAGGGGCCTGAGGTCAAGACAGCTTGGGGCCAAGCAAGAAGGTTCAGTGGGTAGAGGTGCTTGCGGCTAAGCCTGATGACCTGAGTTCAATCCCTGGGACTCACATAGCGGAGAACCAATTCTCGTAAGTTCTCTGACCTTCCCATGTGTGCTTAGCCACTGGCCTGGAAAAACACAAATGAAGGCTCAAGTAGAAATGTAACAAGATGGTTGGTGTATTTGGCCCACACCTCAGCCAAACACTGACTTCTCCTTCCAGTCTTGTCTGCATAACTAAATGTCTCTTCACCCGGCACCTGGCTTCCACTGGGAGGACAGCCTGTCACACTGCACAAGCTACCCCTCAGGACCTGGGTTGCTCATCTGAAGAGACTGGACTAAGTGACAGTTACATCTATGTAGTGTGGGTTGGGTAGCTGCTGTACATCGTGGAAATATTTCCCACTGACTCCCGCTAAGAGCTCTGCTTTCGGGCTTCCTCCACCATCTTTCAAATACCACTACCTCTAGGAAGCTTTCTGGCTGGACTAATCAAGAGCTTGGATGGAATGGAAACATAAGGAACAATGGTTGTCAGGTGGTAGCAGGACAGATGGGACTGTCCAAGAAGAAAAGGGCAGAGATGGGAAGCTAGGTCAAAATACTTATCCATTTAAAGAAGAGATGAGGGAAAAGACTAGGACAGAGCTTAGAACAAGAATAACCCAGAAGGATCATCCCCCAAAGCCCTCTCTGGACAATGACTGGGAAGGCAGAGGAAAATGGAGGACTGAGGGAGGGAAGGAGAATGATGTCCACCCAAAGACACAGTTGGAGGCATTTTTAATTGTCCTAACTGGGGGACAGCTACTGGCATCTAGTAGGTAGGGACCAGGGATACTGCTAAATATCCTACACCACTCAGGATAGGCCTTCTCACACAACAGCTAAGTGGTCCAAAAGGCCTGCAGTGCCACTGCCTTAAGGGACAATTAAGGAGCTCTCAGATCCTCCAGTGCCAGCCTGGTCTTGGAAACTTAAGAAGACTGGACTGTCCAAGACCACACTATCTCTGCTGCCACGGTGTGACCACTCTGCCACCTCTAGCAATGGCCAGAGGTGAGGCCACGAGTTAACATTTACACCCTGTTATCTGGGCCACTACCTACACACAGAGATACAGTCACATAACTGAATCCCAGATGCTGGGTAAGCTGGGGGAGCAGGTGCCCTCCCTCAGGTGTTCTGTTTGTTTTCTAAAGCCACCCACTCACCCACTGACCACTTTTTTGAGACAGTGTCTCCCTGTGTCGCCTTGGCTGTTCTGGAGCTTGCTATGTAGACCAGGCTAACTTCAAACTCAAGCAGATCTCCCAGCCTCCTAAGTGCTAGACTGTTCTGTGCCTGCGTAAGACTCCAAGGTGAAATTCCCAGAACAAGTGCTCACAACAACCAACACTGCAGCAAACGCAACGAGAGAGGAGGCCAGCAAGAGAGCTGTTTATTTATTTGAAGGTTACAGATGGAAATCCTTGGGCTCTTTTGAGGAAGCGAGAATGAAATCCAAGATAGACGCTGAGATTACAGAGGGGAAAGCCCAAGAAAAAGGTGCCAGATGGAATAGACATGAAGGGAGGTCTGGGCCCGTCTCTTAGGCCCTGAATACAAGGGCACTAAACAAGTCAATAAGATTAAAAAAAAAAAAAAAAAAATTATCAGAAAAGGCAAGTTGCCACCCAAGTCAGTTAAATCCTCTGGCAACAGGGCCTTTTCATAGGTACTTATTCTATTCTCTCAGATGCCTGAGCATTCTGGGATGGAGACCTCAAGGAGATCCTGATGACAATAGCCTAGGCCAGTTCCAAAATGGTCTTCCCATCACATGGAGCTGCTTCCCTCAACACTTTTTTTAAATTTAAAATATATATATATATATATATATATATATATATATATATATATATATTACATATACATACATACATACACACACACATACTTGGGCTCAGCTGTTAAGGCTAGGCATGAACCAAAAATAACATGAATGTTTTGCCTGCATGCATGTATGTGTACCTTAAATTTGACCAAGGTCAGAAAAGAGCATCAGATCCCCTGGAACTGGAGTTAAGGATGGTTGTAGCTATCATGTTGGTCCTTTGAATAGAACAGAACTCAGGTCCACTGCAAGAACAAGGGCTCTTAACTGCTGAGTGTTTTGTTCAGACTCTCATCACCTTCATAGTTCTCTGCCTCAAATTATAAAAATCCTGGGCTCAGTTGTTAAAGGTTAGGCTCACAATCAAAACATCAAAATTCCTGCTGTTGGCCAGATGTGGTGCTGTCTCAGCAAATGGAGGTAGACAACAAAATACTGCTGGTGACAGAGCACACAGAAGTCTCTCCATAGTCCAAGCTAGAACTGCACTTCTTGATGTATCCTTTAGCCTGCTCCTGTAAAAATGACAGGTACAGCACGCACACTCCTTTAATCCCAGCACTCAGGAGGCAGAGGCAGGCAGATCAGAGTTCAAGGCCAGCCTGGTCTATCGGGTGAGTTCCAGGATATCCGGGACTACACAGTGAAACCCCACCTTGAGGGGAACAAAAAACAGCAAAAAGACAGGTCCACAGCCAAGATGGTCTCTAAAGAATTTCTCTAGAAATTTTTCCTTCAATTAAGGGAGGAAGCATTTTCCTTGCTAAGCCAGAAACTACAGCCTCTCTCAAAGATGAAGGGAACATCGAGGAGCCTGGGGGTTGGCTCTGGGCCCTAGTCCCACAAGTACTAAGACATAATCAATACGTGATGGGGTAGATCCCGTCCTTTTCATAGGCCAGTAAGTTGCAAACTCTAGTGTTATCATCTCATATAAACCTCACAGGAATCGGTTTCGTCGTGGACAGGGCTGGAAATGCAGCCCAGCTCTTGGGCCAGCTGTGCAGCTCTCCTGCCCAACAGGAGAGACAAAACATTTCTGACTGGAAAACTTCTCCAACCCTCCTCCCAACTACTTCTCATCCCCTTACTTTTCCTGGATGACTGTTGGGAGGCAGGCTAGTTAGGACCTTCCATTAAACCTGCCCCTCACCCGCACCTGGCTTCTCTCTGCTAGCCTGGCCAGGGGAAAAGACAAACAAGTAGTTTAGTGCTTGGCAGAGGGTTCGGACATCATCACATTTATTTTACCAAGGAAGGCACAGCATGGGGAAGGCAGAGAGGCAGAGACAGGCCAGGTCAGTCAGGCTAAGACTCAGGTCTCACTTGAACACTGTCAGCAGTAAGTGTTCTTGAAGGTAGGGGTATAGCTGGAGGGGGGTGCAGAAATGATGTGTCTCCACACCTGTAGGCAATACTTTGTGGCTTGGCAAGATCAAAGAGGTGGCGCTGTAATTTCAATGGAGCCAAAGCAGCCACCTGCCTTGAGAGTCAGAAACCAGGCTGCCCTCTGAGGGCCTAACTCTTTCCACAGCTTCCTGCCCTGTGGCCTCAGGACTCTGCTTGAACCTTGAACTGGGAAGCCCACTGATCAATCCAGCTACAGTAGCCCCATTACAAAGCACAGCCTCCTGCAACCTGTCCCCCATAGCCTCTCCCCACACAGAGGCAGGATCTTTTAGCAGCAGAGAGAACAAGTTGATTGTCCCCTGAACCAGCTCAATGACTGTCCCCAGTTATCTGAGAATAGAGGTCATGTCCTTGTAACATCTCCTTGAAATAAATACCCTCCCAGGACACCTCTGGGTTCCCTCTCCAAACTGGTCCCTTATGAAGGGCAGCAGTAGGAGGGCTAGACCAAGCTCTTGCTTCTCTGCACTGCAGAGGCTGGGGGCTCCCTCTTGATGAGAGAGAAATGTACTCCAGGCTGGTTCTGGCATCTCCAGAAGCTCCTGCTGCCCTTACAGCCTCCTCAGCAGCCTTGGTGAGGGCAGACTTGCTGGCTTTTAGTGTTGCTCTGCAGAGAGCTAGACCGGTGAACAGGCAGCCCAGGAACACAGTGAGGCGAGCTGCAAGAATGGCACCTTCACCTGTAACCCAGAGCCTGGTCCTGCTGCTTCCTCACGAAGGACAGCAGCTGGCCTGCAGCCCTCACCAAGGGGATCCAGGCCAGGAGTTCCTTCAACCAGCCTCCCCCAAGCAGTTTGCCTACATGGTCCTGTCTGTAAAACAGTGTCCTCTCAAGGCCCCCTTGGTGTGCCCTAAGATCCTGAAAGCTCTGTCTTTTTGGCCAGGTCTCAGACGTGGCCTCTGAGGACCCAGCAAACATAGGGTCCCCATCTGGAAGTGGCTGGTGCTCACCAAGGTGCTTGATGCTGCTACAGCACAGCTACAAGGCTACTGCCTCTTCCGACCGGCCTCTTGCCGGCCTCTGAGGCCCACACTGCTCCAGGGCTACAATTCAGACTGTGATCTTGAGATTCTTGGGCCTTTTCGGAGCTCTTTCCGCTTCTCCTCCTTCTTCCGGCGTTTTTCTTCATCCCTCAAGGCCTTCTGGAAAGGGTCATTGCTAGGAATGAACTGAGATAAGCAGAGAGATCTGATTTAGTCGATGGGTAGCAAAAAGTTTCCTCTGAGCTAAATCTCAGACTGTAAGATAAGGTTCCTGGAGAAGGCCCTATCTTCAGGGAGCCCCACACAAGGAACCAGATGAAAGGGCTCAGGAAACCTGCTGCCTGAATCATGACATAATCAGGAGCTTAATAAGCAAACAGGGAAGATAGGAGAGTCCCAGCACAGAGGACAGAAGCCAACCAAGGTGTGAACTGGAAAACAAACACTCTCTTCCAGAAGAGAGAGCAAGGTGGTTCTTGGGTTACCTGTCTGACACACCCTTCAGGAAGGAAGCTAGGAGTCCTAGACAACAGGTGCTGCCACTCTGAGGCATACAGGAACAAACTGGCAAAAAGTGAGATGGGAATGCCAACAGGGAGAGATGTGCAGGAGATAAGAATTTGAGGGCAACTTCAACTTCAATCCCAGGCCCTGACTTTTCTCCCTCCATGCTTTCCCAAAGTCTAACCTAACCCATAGTTTCTGTTGGTCTCTATGGCCAACTATCAAACCTGTATCTCAGTGTCTATTTGTCTCTGTAACCGACAGTTCCCATGGCTACGTTCTTGCAGGCCTTTGTACATGCTGTGGCCTAGGTCCAGAATGCTCTTTCCAGCCCTGTCCACTGGGTTTCATTCACTCCAACGCTACTCCCACTGCCCTGGGGACCTCTTGTATGGCCGCCTCCTCACTGGTACCCTTTTTTCAATTTTGTACTGACTGATTCTTGTGCTTCTCCTTTGAGGCCCTCCACTCTGTGCCGTCACCCAAGACAGCATGTTTCATGAAGATGGAATGTTGGTATAGGGGGTTGTGGTCCACTATGTCCCAAGCACAGAGCCCAAATGCTGCTCAACAGCATTCCATGCACATTTTTGACGAAATGAAAGGATGGGCTTGTTAGAATAGTAAACACAAAGTATTCAAAATTCAGGCTCTCAAATATGTTCCTTTTTTATATTCTTAGGACAAAACTGTGACCAAGGTAGGAGTCAAAAACAAGCTAAGAGTGCCACCTTGTGGCACACCCTACTTGCCACATCGGCCACGCTTCTGGTTAAAGAGGGTAGTCCCAAGAGTGGTCCAGAGACAAAAATGGTGTGTTCAAGTCACACAGCGGAATGCTCAACTCACTTGGACTAATCCAACCAGGCCTCCCAACCACCTCCCAGATAGCTACCAATCTTCTCTCTCTCTGTCTGTCTCTGTCTCTCTCCACCTGCATCTGCCTCCTCAAATGCTGGGACTACCCATTCTTATCTCTTAAAGAAGAGACTCTTCTCACTGAGGCTGCTGTAGGTGGAGAGGTCCACGTTGAATATAAAAAAGCGGGCAGGCTGGGGACCCTTTGTGTATTATGTGTAAAGCCATGGGTCAAGGCCCAGTGTAGGGGGTTAAGTGGGTAAACTATCAGGACCATCCCCAGATAACAACAGGGAAATTATGTTGCTCCGATGGTCCAAGAGCATAGTATGGCAACATTACACTTGTGACTCACTCTCCTGCCTGACAGAAACATATATGATAGCAGGTGAGAGGAACCTACTTGCAGAAATTAAATCTCTCCCTAGATGCCCCATGTGGTGAGGAAGAAGGACTGCAAGGCCCTGGGAGCCTCTGTGTGCAATGACTGGGTCCACCTAGACTCAAGGTCTTGCCCAGGAATGCTTCTCAGAGTTGATTACAGCAAGCAGCCTTGAAGGGTGTACCATTTGGAAAGAGAAGCCACTACCTTGATGGGGAACACCATTTTCTCTACCCTAGCTGCATGAAACAGGCACTGGCTCAAAAGGAACCTCAGAGGTTCTGCTAGCAGTCAGGCATGGTCCCTGTGGCTCAGCTGGGTTAGAAACAAAGGTGTTGCATAGAAAGCAGTTAGCATTGCAGGTGTGGCCATGCACGGTGGTGGGCTGGCTTACGCTTGCAATTCCAGAACCTGAGGGTAAATGCAAGAGGTTCAGGGATTGAGGCTATCCTGGCCTACGAGACTGTCTCAAAACAAGCGAGGAAACAATAGAGAAACTCAGGGAAAGAGCTGCAGGCCTGGTTGCTGTCTTTTAAAAGCCATGTGTCTAAAGTTGGCTCTTGACCGGCAGCTGGAAACCAGTCTTAATCAGTAAGAGTGGTTTACTGTTCTCAAGTGTCTGTGACATCGATGCGGTTTATGATACGTTCCTCCCAGCAGCTGTAGTTTGGGTACTAGTAAGATTCAGGGGACTCATGTAACCAGGTCCCAGTAAAAACCAGGCTCTGGGCCTCCAGTGAGGGGGCAAAGGAAGCTCACACATGTTGCAGTTGGTTGCTGGGGGAATTAAACACATCTCCAGTGACCACTGGGAGAAAACGCTAAAAGCTGCTGTCCCTGGATTTTGTCAAGGCTGGTGTTAAATTCTAGGGCTCAGCTGATCTTCCCAGTCAACCTCCCAAATGGCTGGAATTACCTGTGTGCTACCACAACTGCCTAACAGGTCTCTATGATCGTGTAAAAATTCCCTTATCCCACTCCCATCTGAGCCTTCTGAAAGAGGGAGGTGACTACAGAAAAGAGAAACTATGGGTGTCAGGATGGGACACATGAATAATTCAGCAGTAACTTAAGCACCTGGAGATGCCTTAAGACTCTAGAGGACTCAGAGAAAAACACAGTGGCAAGTGGCAGGTTCCACTGTCGCTGGTGTGTGATTCTCATCCACATGACGGGGAAATTCACACAGACACAGTCAATACTGAGCCATTCTCCTGTGACCCACACCATCAAGGGCAGTGAGCTCCTCAGAGTACTACGTACACACACAGGATGGCACAGCCTTGTTCTACTCACCCTTTTATTCCTAAATTCTGAGCAGCCTTGGATTATACCACACTAGACAACTAAGGAGAAAATTCTGCACTTAAATATACTCAGGACTTGGGTAAACGATGTACCGATGACTTAAAGTGGAAGAGAAGGGACCACAGGAATGTCTATCATGGTGGATGACTATTGCTTTGGGCCATCTATTGCTTCCTATAATTATTAACAAATATGTTCAGTGAGATTGGCAGGTAAAAATCTAAATTTCTGGTGGATGTAATGGATAATGCACCAATTTTAGGTGATACTCTGATGGCTCTAAGTGAGGCATTCTAGTCCCCCTAAGACTTAAGTCACATGTGGTTGAGTCAGGGACTCCGGAGAACATGATGACGGCAGTCAGTACTGCTGGCTGACCTCATCCTGGTCAGAACAGCCGGGTGAGGTGGCTAGTGCCTGAGATCCCAGCATACAGAAGGAAGGCTAAAGCAGGAATGTGGGAAGTTGAAGGTCAACCTGGGTTACAGAGTCAGACTGTCTCAAAACTCAAACCAACAATCAAAAAACAATGCATATGACTGCAGCCTCAAAAAATGACATGAAACAAACTGAATGGAGTTGGACATTGCCTGAGTCAGATTAATCAGGCAGGAGGCTGTGGACCAAGCAATCTGTGATGGTGTGGGGTACCTTCCTATGTTCCCACTGAGTACACTAACATTGCAAAGTCCAGCCTAAAAACAAAATTCGCCTTGAAACAAAATTCGCCTTATCCCCACAGTGGCCTCTTGCTCTGGCCTCCTGTGCTTGGGTTACAGGCAAGTCCCTTCTAACAACTCTTTACCCAGGCCATTTTTTCAAGATTATTTTTGCAGAGAGACTGATCTTAAAGGATGAGGTATCTTCCCCTGGACACAGCATGAACCTACTTAATCCACCATGAAGAAAGATGGAACGCAAACCCGCTGCACGCACAGCATCTGCCTGGCCCTTCCATGTACAGAACAAGGGGATCCAAGACGGTAAGCCCAAGTCCAGCTACTCCTGCGACACTGACAACCGTCTATGACCTGCCGGCATCTATACAGTAGCAGGTACCACCTTAGACCTGTCACAGGCTCAACACCCCTCTCCACACAGGCGTCAGCTGTGATCTGAAGAGTCCTAGTTTCCCAGACATAGGAGGAGCCTTTCCTTCCCGTCCTTCTCGACCCTGTGCTGCTCCCTCTGATCCCTTCCTCGCTGTGTGTGTCTCCGTCTGTCTTCTAAAACTGCAGCTGTTGGCCCTGGAGCCAGTTTTAGAACTCCAGATTAAAGGCATGTGTAGGAGTGAGAACAGAGCACCAGCCTACCTGTATCAGAGGCTCAGAGCAGGGAAGAACGTGACCTGGCCCTACCTGGTCACTCTGACACTCACACCCTGGGGGACACATTGTACAATGAGATGAAGATGTTTACAGACTCACGAATTCCCCCAATCTCTACTCCACCCCCGAGCCGTGGGCTACATTCAGAGAGGAACAGTGACTCCCTGAAACTGTCAGTGACTTAATGGTTTCTGGACTGTCTGGTTCTGAGTCTAAAGCTCTCACTACCTACCCCAGGCCTTAGGCCTGCAGACTCAGCCTCCCGTGCCCAGACACAAACAGTCACAGGCCCCAGCAGCTCACCTCTGTCCGGTCTATTTTAAATGGGTTCTGGAAGTCAGAGTCCTTCTCAGTGATCCCCAGCTCCTGGGCCATCTGTGGATGAAAAAGCCTGTCATCCCCTTCTGCCCCTGATTACCAGAGTGCCACTCCCACCATGCAGGGACTTAAGCCTCACAGCCTGGGCAGTGTAGGCCAGAAACAATCCCCAGAGACCCTCCAAGTCAGCAGAGCCCCTTGAAATTAGGCCTCTATGACTCAAAGTACCTAACACTCACAGAAAACAGAACTGTGGATAACTGACAGGGCCAACCGCAGAGAGATGTGAGGCTCCCAGCCCTCTTACCAGTCCTTACCAGGTTGAGGATGGGTGAGTGGGGTCCCTGGTCAAAGACACCTGTCTGATTGCAGAAGCTGATGCCCCAGCGGATGAGGTGGTTCCAATTGGAATTATGGTCGAAGTAGTGGTGTACAATCTTTGGGAAGCGCAGCACCACATCGCCAAAGAAGGCTGTGTTCTCCACCACATGGGAGAAAGCTGGTGAGAAGGTCTGAGTGAGTCAGCTGGCTGATCCCAGACCTCCCCCAGGAATGGAAGCGTCTAAATCCACTAATCAGAGGCGGGAATGGCAGCCATTGCTCACCGCATGTGCACTGTGCATTAGGTCTTATGACCTGCTAGCAGACTTCTTTCCGGGGAGGGATAGCCACCGTTCCTGTTCTACAGATTATGATGCTTGGGGGGTTGCTTTGTTTGTTGTTAGATTTTTTTTTTTTTTCAACTTGACATAAGCTAGAGTCATCGGGGAAAGGGAGCCTCAGTCAGGGAATTGCTTGCATCAGACAGGCCTGTGGACATATTCTTGATAGATTAACGTTGGGAGGCCTAAGCCTCCTGTGGAGTGGGCCACCCTAAGAGGGCTGAGGAAATCGTGCAGAACAAGCCCGTAGGCAACATCCCTCCAGGGTCTCTGTGCCAGTTCCTATCATGGCTGCCCTCAATGATGCACTTTAATCTCTAAGCAAAAAAAAAAAAAGAAAGAAAGAAACCCTTTCCTTCCCAGGTTGTTTTTGTTCAAGGTGTTTAACCACAGGAACAGAAAGCAAACCAGAACACAGCTAGGAAACTGAGGCTTAGTAGCTAGTGAGTGTCAAACCCAACCTGCAAACCTGAGGTATGTGTTCAAACTTACAACTTATGGCTTACAAGACTCATTTGTGGAAATCAGGCAAGCTGTACATTGGGCAGGAGACCTGTACAGGTCTCAGGAGTTCAAGGCCATCCTTAGTTAGAGGCTTGATGCCAGCCTGGGATACGTCAACAAGGGTATTCCTCGTTCTGAGAAAAGATTCATTTACTTTGAGAGTCAGAGGTGGGCACTATTTTGTACAGGCGTGACGCCCAGTGTCCAAAGCTATGTCAGTGTTAACTATCTGTACAGGGTCATTTCTGTCAGGACAGCCAGCAAAAAGGTCAGACTTGCACTGTTTCTGTTTACTGTTTCTGTTTAAAAATATACTTTTCAGTTGAGCAGTGGTAGCACACGCTTTTAATCCCAGCACCCAGGAGGCAGAGGGCACCCTGGTGTGTGTGTGTATGTGTGTGTGTGTGTTGGGATTACAGGTGTGTGCAGCCATAACTAGCTTTAATTTTCTGTTAAGTATTTTTTTCTCTCTCTCTTTTGATAGTGTCTTTATGTGACCAAAGGCTAATTTAAGCCTCATTATGTAGCTCAGGTTGGCACTGAATTCATGATCTTTTTTCTAAAAGCTAGTATTACAGGTGGCTTATTTTGAAATCATCTAGATTTATTTACTACAACACAAAACTCTTTCACCCTACTCCCTCTAATGCCATCATCTTACGCCACTATAGCTAAACCAGGAAATTCATATCAATACAGTAGCTTACCTACAGCTATCTGACATTGAGTTGGTCAGTTCTCCCACTAAGGTCCTTCCCCTAATGAGGTCAACAGGTCAGTTTACACTGGGGTTAGCACATTTACTCTAGTGACAAGTCCCCCTAGATGGAATCTTCACTCCTAGAGCACATACCCAGACAGCCCTGCCCAGCACTGGCGGGCATCACAGGGAGGCAAGCCAAACCCAAAGATCTGCCAGGCTGGCGTGTGGGCTGTGGACCCCTGGACTTCAGAAAAACCTTGAGACTCAGGGAATTTAAGAATCAGTTTGGTTCAGAGAGGAGAGCCAAGGCAAATAATGTGTTCTCTTTCAACAGGCCTGAGGGGTGCCACCTGTAAGACGCCATTATTCACCCACAGGAGCTGCTCCCCCTGCTCCCTCCTGTCGGCGTCTCTGAGAACTGTCACTGCTAAACTGTGACTGGTTAGGCCAGGCCCTTAACCCCACTCCCACCGCTCGGGAGGCAGAGGCGGCAGATCTCAATGTGCTTGAGGCCAGCCTGGTCTACATAGCAAGTTCTAAAACAGCCAAGCTTACATAGTAGAGAAAAAACGAAAATGTGATAGTAGTAGGCATAAGGAGGGGCTAGCATTGGAGAGGAGTTCTTGCAAGAGGGGACAGAGGGACATGAGACATCCCATCGTCTTGTTTTCCCACTTCTCTGAAAAGAGATTTAAGGAGTTTGGGGCCTTTACCATGGTAGCAAAGAGTGTTGGTAATCACACTCTCCCTTAGCTTTTTGACAGGCCTCGGTCATTCCTCCTTCAAACACGAACAATCCCCATTTGCCTTCCCAAAAAGTGATTCACTAGCTCTGCCATGCCCCCTCAAGTGGTGGCAGGCAGAGACTTTTCTCTGGCTTCCCTGTCTAAGTAGAGGACAACATAAAGAAATATGTGCTTTACGGCTAAAGGACAGAGAAACTGGTTCTGAAGCCCAGAAATGTTTAGAGAGCCACAGGCCAGGCCCTTATACACCCTAGGCCAACTACTCAGGGCCCTCACAGGGATATTCCACAGGTACAGGAGTGACGGGAACAGAGGAGGAGCAGCTGGAGAACAGCAGGGTAGTAGGGAGCAGAGCGTAGTGTTGGGGAGGCCATACCATCCTTCAGCTTCTCGTCCTGGGGGAAGGGCCCATCTGGGAGCACAGCAGCGGCAGTGAGCGCTGTCCGGGAGTCCTCCAGCACCTGAAGGAACCCCATCTCGGCTAAGTGGCTTTGTGGAGACCCTCACAACCTAGCTCCAGCCCCATTTACCTGAATCCCCCTCCAGCTCTTTTACTCATTAAACACTGTCCCCTCGGAGAACACCTACTCATCTAGCAGCGCTCAGAGCCCTGTCCTGCTACGAGCTTCCCTGCTCCCCCACACCTTAAAGAGTCCCTTAAGCATGACATCAAGGATCTTGTACTGCTGGTGGATGTCGTTCAGCTGTGCCAGGTTCTTCAGTGCCACCAACTGCTCTCGCCGCTTCACCTCAAACATCTTCTTGTCTGAGCAACATTAAGTTAAGGGGCTAGCACAAAAACCCTACTTGGACAATACAAAGGACCTGCCTCAGAGGGCCCATTCCTAACCTGTGCCGCTAAAAAGCCTTGGATGGCCGTGGCTGAAATGCCCCTGGGAAGGGATGGAAAGTCTGGGAAGGATACAGGTTCTGCAATGTACCATTTGTCCAGAGCCCAGAAACACCACACACAGAAAAGAGGACAAGCCCAGCACTCCAAGATCTGACACCTGCCGTCCCTTTCCTGTCTTTCTGTCATCTCTTCCCATCATTCACTGCTCTAGAAGCTCCAGCAATCTGCTTAAACTATAACACGCCCCCACCATTCTCCTGGAGTTTCTATTCTCAAGACAGCCGCTCAGAAGCTCCATAGTACAGTGCTTCTCCCAAGACCTCCTGTATCCATCAGAGCCTCAGAGAACAAAGTCCACTTGTTTGGATGTTGTGGTGATTTAAATGAGAATGGCCCCCATGGGCTCATACTTAAATGTTTAGTTCCCAGTTTGTTGGGCCCTTTAGGGAAGATTAGGAGTAGAGCCTCATTGGAGGAAGTAAGCGTGGCCTTGTTAGAGCTGTATTACTGGGGATGGACACTAGACCCAGTCTCTCTGCCTTCCGCCTACAGATCTGGATGTAAGCTCTCAGCTCGGCCAGCAGGGCGGCTGCCTGGCTGCTGCCATGCTTCCCACCTTCACGATCAAGGACTAACCCTCAAAAACTGTAAGCCAGCTCCCAATCAAACACTTTCTTTTATCAGGAGCAACAGAACGGTAACTACTATCCATCCTTTCTCCTCCTGGCTGCATGCTTGCCTCGAAACCAGGGATGCTCTTGTGTCATCTTTGTGTTGCCAAGGCCTGGCTCAGAGGACCAGCCTCAGATAAGCTAGTGATCAAAGTTTTGGAGGGTCTTCCCAGCCAGGTACCTACCTCTGCACATCTGAGAGATGAGCCTAAACTTCAGTTGACATCTGGGGGGGGGGGGACCACAAACTGAAGAAAACTGACCTGCTCACAGTCCAGCCACAGCTTATCTTCTCCTTCCTCCTATTCTTACCAGCTCTGTCTGCTGGTCCTTGGAATTCCCCCAAGGAGAGATCTCATTTACCAGCCCTTCGAAGACAGCTCATTCACCCCACCCAAGCCCCCAAAGGGATACAAATCTTGAGGCTTGGGTCCACAGTGGTCTTTAGGGTGCCTGTGACTTCTGTGCCAGGGAGCAGGATGGCAAAGAAGGCTGCCAGGAACTGAAGAAGGTCCATATCTGACACTCTGGAGCTAGAGGGGTAACACAAAGGTGGCGAGTGAGGTCACTGAAAAAGCAACTTCCCCAGACATGGTCCAGCCTTGATACCAAGAATCCAGATTTGGGGAAGCCCTGAAGTTCTAGCCAGGGCTGGTGACTAGCAAGCACACAATATAGGTCTCTGGGATTGCAGGAGAAAGAGAGGAAGAGACTTTAGCAATGCTTAGGGCACTGGGGCTAGAGCTCTAGGTTGGAGTCTTGACCACATCTACCTTTGTTACTGGGCAAGTGCCCCAGCTCTCTAAACCATAGCTTCCCTACCTGTAAAACAGGGTTAGGAGGTCCCTTTCCTGATGCAGAGAGGCAGGTCTGGATATGTAAGGGGCTGGCCAATGGCATTCCTATCAAATCCCTGTTCTAGCCTCCTAGTGGGGGTATCAGCCAAGGAATCTCAGGCAGTGAGAAAGTTAAGACTTGTGTGGCTTCCCTCCCTCTCCAACTTCTTCTGACATCAGCCGGGACACACTGGCCAACTAGCCTGGCTGAATCTCAGAGCTCCAGGTTTAGTGAAAGGCCCTGTCTCAACAAATAGGGTAGAGAACAATTAAGGATGATATCTGGTCTTGTCCTCTGGCCTCCACACGCACAGGGTGTACACACATAAACACACATTTTTTTTTAAAGGACAGAGGGATTTGATCAACTTAATCATTAATATGTGTGGGCCAAGTGTACTGGCTTGTGACTTTAATCTCAACACTTGCAAGGCTGAAGGATTTCCTTAAGTTTGAGACTAATCTAGGCTTTAGACCTTGTGTAAAACTTCAAAATGGATAGAATGGGGTGGAAAATGTCAGTCAAAGGAGGCCTCATACTCAGATGATACCCAGTTTCACAATACTGTGGAAAAAAAAGTGTCTTGTCAGAATCTCACAGCTGTTCCTAGACTGAGCCAAAAGTCAGTACACTGTCTCTTCTTTAAATAAGCACAGGGCTCCTCATATCAAAGCTGGCCACACCCCACCCCAGAATTTGAGAGGCTCAGTGAGAGACTGTTAAGAAAATCTCTGCCCCATGAAGTTGGGACAGCTGAAGCTTAGAGGACTCCAAGATTATCCGGGACCCTCCACCTTCCATCTCACGCTCCAGAACTCAAGGGATCCTGAACCAGACCACAGCAAAATTTGGGGAGACAGAAATTTACCAGACAACCTAAGATACCTCAAGCAGGACAAACGTGAGAAAGGAAAGAAGCGGACCGTGGGGGCAGGTCTGGTTTGCTTTACTGTAACTCTACTATCCGGCCTTTAAATCTCACTTCTGTCCCGAGCGTCCCCGAGCTCTCCAAGGCTCGGCAAGAGACTCTGAACGCGTCCCGCCGGGTGTTGGTTTCGTGCCTTCGGGCTTCCGAGGGGCTAGCGAGCCACTCCAGGTGTCCGAGTCCCGAAACCCGCACACAGTGCGAGAGGGGCTCCGCACTCCCCTCTTAAGAAGCCTACGCTACAGCCCGGCACCCCCGCCACCACCTACCCGGGCCGGCGGTGCAAGGAGGTGGGAGCAGCCCCTCGGCGTGCAGCTCAGCTCCCGGAAGCACCCAACTCAGGCAAAGCGCGGAACTCCAGAGCACCCGGCCGGCTGCGCCCGGAGACCCACAAACTGCCGCCCCACCCACCGCGCTGCTCCCGACCAATGAGGCTGGGCCGCGACCGCCGCGCTCCGCTGACCTCACTTCCGGCCCCGCCCCTGCAGGCCAGCCTTGGTCGCTGCAGCTGTCAGCTCCGCCGTGGTCTAAGCGAAGGCGCAGCTGGACTCGCCGTTCTCCGTTCTCGGCAGTTGGAGGAAGTTAAGCTGCGCGCGGGGCTTTTTACTGCTTAAAGCGTGGCAGCAAGTCCCGCCCAGAAACCCTGGCTGCCCGGGCGCTCTGCGATGCCTGCCGTCCCATCTGAGTCCAAGATCCAAAGAATTTAAGGAACTAGCAGAACTTTACTTGCCCTTCCAGGCAACTAATTTCTAAGCTAGAGTTCTCCGTCTGTTCACAAGTCTTCAGTTTTGCACGGGGATGGGGGCTGAGGGTGTCAGGACAGCTAGATCCTGGGAAGACAGGTGGAGCGGCCAGTTAGAGCACAGAGACCCAGGCTCGGCTGACGCACAGAGATGTGGGCAGACTTGTCTGCCAGCAGCCAGCGACGGTAGATGCTAAAGGACCACTGCCCGTGTGGGTACAGAAAAGAGTTTTGAGAAGGCTGGCTTGAGCCAGTGTAGCTGAGGCAGGTTTGCTCAGAGAGGCGGACTGAGGGTTTGATTTTCTTTGCCTGAGATTTACACCTCTCCCCATATCCACTTGAGATGAAGTGCCTCTCAGAGCTCCAACCACAGGGCCTTTCTCTGCCCTCCCAGCCTCTTCATGTTCCCTATGTACAAGTTCTATGAGGCACTCTGCACATGCTCTTTACATGCTGTTAGTCTCAACTGCCTCTCCATCCTTTGCTGAAACAACCCAGTGTCCAACTGACTAGCTGAGGAACAAGCTCCAGAAAGACAAGTTGAGAGTGAAAGCTCACACAGGATTGTAAACGAAATTTTTTTTTAATTTCCTGATTCCATTTCCACTGTGGAGTAAAATGGCTCCAGACAAAGGACTGAGGTTGTCATTTTCCCCTCAACAATTATGCTCTGAATTTGTCTACAGGTCTCACTTCTTTCTTTCCAGGGCCTTTATGTCCTAAGGCTCAGTCTCTGATGTGGGACAGAGAAACAGACACACCTCCAAGGCAGCTGGTATGAAACATGAGAGGAGAATAGAAGAGAAATGGAGCCAAAGGGGTGGGGGAGGGAATATCACACTTCCAGAAGGCCCAAGTGACAAGAATGCTCACAGGTGCTTCTAAAATTGGTGGCAGGGATTCCAGAATTGGGACCAAGCAGTTGCTATACATCAAAAGAAAGTGGCAGGGGTGAGAAGCATTCCTCCTCCGCACAAATGGGCATGATAATGTCTCCAGCACTTCACGACCTAAGGAACTCTGGCCACCAGGACAGCCCAGGCTTTACTCTCAGCTTTCTGAGTGCTAGGATTTACAGATATGTGCTACTGTGACTGGTCTCAACCCCAGGCTTTCTTAGGGACTTACCAATCACCCTCCCTCCCTTCTTGGACTGGGGAAACCATGATGCTACAGCCTTTCATGGTCTTAGTGATGTTGCCCAGGCCAAAGTCCCCAGATGCAAGAAAGGATACAGCATGTCTTGAAGGGGTGGCTGGGCTGGAAAGGCACCGGAGCAAAGGCCCTCCAAGGAGGCCTGCAAGGTCTGGGTTGTATTGTGGTCAGTCATGAGGCCTGTGCTCTGGACCTGTAGAAGGGACAGGAAAGTCGGGCCTTCTCTAACTGTCCCCACTTCCCGTACTCTTGACTTCCCAATGGCTTCAGCGGAAAGAGCTTCCACCCTCCGCAGATGGTCTTGAGGGCCTGGCCTCAAGCTGTTGTAGCATCCCCTTTCCACTTACCTGTAGGAGGAAGCCGTGCAGAGCCTGGAGGGTATCATTTGAGAGATTTGACAGGTCAGCTAACGCCACACCTTGCAAAATAAGACGCACCTCTTCACGAGAGAGGATGCTGCTGCTCCGGTACTGTACAAACTAGCCCAGGAATAAAAGTCCAAATATCCATTATTAGAGAAGATGCCATTTTCTGTGGACTGCTGCGCCCAGCGCTGAGCTGGGAACATGATTCTAAAGCCCAGAATCTCACTTTTTAAGCTCTGCATTGGTGAAAGTAGATGGTTGTCTCACAGGAGAAAAGGGCAAATGAGGTCGACTGAGATCCTGAGAGCTCTGGCCTGAGTGACTTCATCAGGCTTCCTCCTCCCCAAGCCCTGCATGGCAAACTCATGGCCAAGATGAACTGTGAATGTCCTGTAACCTCCCTGTGTGTTCTTTACCCTACTACTCTCCCTTCATGCCCCATAACATCCTCTCCTTCTGTCTAATAACCCTTCAAGCCTGGGCAGTTCACAAAAGCAGTTACTTTCCTCTGTTTTTTCACAGTAACCTCTGATTTATTTGCAGGTGATCTTCACTGTCACCCATGAGCTTGTTCTTTTGCTGTTTATTCAACAAGAATTAGCCTGTGCCAAATACCCTTATCATTCAAAATATCAACTTTAACTATTCATTTACTTGTCTTCCTCCTTTTCCAGAGTGAGGGGCCTTTGGAGGCAGAGCATGTAGCTCGTGAACATCCTCATTACCGGGACCTGTCCTGTGGCAACAGACCCTGAACTGATTCATGGAAAAATAGGAGAAAATGTGTCCTAAGGATAGATGGAGCTATTCACAGGAAACTCCTGGGCAGGTCTCTTGTAAGGTGAAGGCCACCCACCCCTTCTCTGTGAAGATTAGGGTCACCTAAAATACTGCCGTGTTTTGGACCACTTTAGCAACACCAAGCTGACATCCCAAGCATAGAACTCTTCCTTTCTATACTTACCATGGTCATAAGTCTCAGAATCTCAGGCCTGAGGAAGGAATTCTCTCCAGCATCCAAGAGGGTGAAAAGCAAAAACCGATTCCAGGGCTGGGAGGCCACATGGAGTGCTGCAAGAAACATTAGTCCTCAGGTGGTTAGTGCTGTTCTCCGGAGCATGCTCAAGAGAAGCTTCTCCTATCGGCAAAAGGGGGGGGGGGTGCTGCTCAGCTGTAGGCAGGAAATTGGTTGGATCTGGGTTCATGAGGTCTCTTGCCTGCACTTATAGCAGCCCATATGGACACTCAGTGAAAGTCTATCCCATGACTGTGAGAGGCAGGCAATTGCTCCTTTCGAGCGCTGTGACCACGGTCAGGTGGCTCACGTGAACACTCTGGTTCTCAGTGCCCACGCCCGTACAGTGGGCATGACTGTCCTTCACTGGAGCAGTCATAGAATAGGGGCTGATTCCCTCAAATCTTGATCACAGGAAAATAAGAGACTGGGGAAGGTTTGTACCAATGTCTGGGCTCCTGGCATGCAGGTAGTTGAGCAAGGCTTCCAGACAGCCAACACAGGCTTGGGATAATAGAGGGTCTTTCTGAAAGAAAGAAAACAACACAAAAAAATGAAAACAGAAGTTGGTTCAGGATTTGTTTTTGTGAGACACCATCTCATGTAGTGCAGGCTGGTCTCAAACTCTAAGATCAGCATCACATGTGTGTGTGTTGGGGGGGTATTTAGTTTCAACAAAGAAAAAGTTGTTGCCAGGGTCAGTGGCACATGCCTTTAATCCTAGCTCTCCGGGAGGCAGAGGCAGAGGCAGGTGGATCTCTGTGGGTTCCAGGACAGCCAGGGCTACACAGAGAAACCCTGTCTCAAAACAAACAACCCCCCCCCACACACACATAAAGAAAAAGGTTGTTTTTAATTATTTAAATTTCAGTGTTTCAGATATAGAATATAGTCCCATAGATAATCTTTAAATGCTTGTAAGTCATTTGTCATGTACAGAGCACAATGCTTATATTAAGTAACACCTTTTTGTAGAGCATAACTTTTGATTCTGGAAACAGGTCTCACTATTACTTACCTGGCTGACTGAGTTCCTACTGTGTAGCTCAGGTTGGCTTCAAACTTGTGGCAATCCTCCTGCTTCTACTTCCCAAGTGCTAAGATTAGGGCCACAACATGGCACCCAGCTCTAACAAACTTTTAAAAAGAAATTGATTTACTTGTGTTTTACGTGTGTGTTTTGCCTGTGTGTATGTCTTTATCACCACATGTGTGCCCAGTGCCCTCAGAGGCCAGAAGTGGGTTTTGAAGGCCATGTAAGTGGAGAGCACTTACATGGAGAATGGAGGGATTGTCAGACACAATTTGACAAATCTCAAAGAGCTGAAAGAAGCCCCTGGGAAGAGTTCCCTTCCCACAGGGAAGCTCCCAACCTGGTCAACACTGAATTTCAGCCACGTGGGTCCAAGTGGAAACCCCAGTGACAGAGCATGTCAGAACCCCGGGTTGATTTCTAACATTACAAGACACAAAGCCACTGCTAAGCTAAGTAGACAGTGGGGTGAGCTCAGCCAAACGTCTGACTTACAGGACTGGGAGGTGGTTAGCAGGCGGGGGTGGGGGGTGGGGGAAGGGTTTAGATCACTGTGGTTGTGATGACTCATTACAGAGAAGCAAGCGGATCACGAATACGCCTTCTGACCTAACAATCCCAACTGCTAGGTGTTCACCCAAGACGAACGGTTATTTATCCACATACAAATCTGTACCACAGTAGTAAGAGCTACTTTATTCAGAACTGGGAGTGGTGGTACATGCCTGAAACCCCATCACTGGAAGGCAGAGGCAGGAGGATTAGGAGTTCAAGGCCAGCCTAGACTACATAAGAATCCAAAAAAAATTTTTTTTAATTGAAGAGTAACTATAAGCACCAACAGTCTAGAAATCCAAACTTTCTATTTGTAGGTAAAGAGATAAACTGTAGGATAACTATAAAGGGCACAGCATTTCCTAGTAAAAAGAAATTACTGATACACACAATAATATCTCAAAAACATTAAGCTAAATGATAGAAACCAGAAACATAAGTCCAATTATTATGTGATATATGAAATTCTAGAAAAGATAATAGTATAGTGGCAGACAGAAGATTAATGTTTGTAAAGGGTCATGGAGAGGACATGAGTGACACTGGAGAGGCAGAGGCAGGCAGATCTCTGTGAATTCAAGGCCAGCCTGGTCTACAGAGTGAGATCCAGGACAGCCAGGGCTACAGAGAGAAACCCTGTCTCAGGGTTTCTTTCCTTTAAGCATATCAGCCTGGAGCTGCTGCTCATGCAGCCTACAAGAATAAAGCCAACAGTGGGGAGTACAGAGCTGAGCTGTGAGGAGGAGATCTAGCCCAAGACTCTGGGACCCAGCTGTTTGAAGCCATTAGTACCCCAGACTTCTCGGTCGGAAGCCACTTCAGGCCTTGGTGGTCACTGCAGGATTTTGTTTTGTTTTGGATAGGGTCCTGTGTAGCCCAGGTTAGCCTCGGATATCCTATATTCTAAGGATAACTGTGAGGGTTAATCTGAGCTGTCAGCCTCACTGGATCTGGGCACGGCTGTGAGAGATTGTCTGGATTAGGGTAACTGAGTGGGGAGACCCACTCTCAGTGTGGGCAGCACCGTTCCCGCGGTGGCCCAGATATGAGCAGATGTGGGGTTTGCGCGAGAGGACTGCTGCTTTTGCCTGCTTGCTTTTTGTCTCATTAGCCACTCCTTCTACCTTGATCACACATTTATCTGTCTCCTTGCTACCACTGCCATCCCTCACTGACATCAGAACCCAGTTCCTTCTGCTTCCTACACCAACTGGAGAGGGGTGGCTCTTCAGAAATCCTCTAGGCCAGCGGTTCTCACTTCTAACGCTGCCACCCTTTTATCCAGTTCCTCACGCTGTGCTGACCTCCAACGGTAAGGTTACTGCGCTGCTTCATAACTGTAATCTTGCTACTGTTACGAATCATAATATGAATATCTGATATGCAACCCTCAAAGGGAACTGCTGCTTTAGACCGCCAGCACCAAAATGGGCCCGCTGACGTATCCCGCCTCATGGAGTGAGCCTCTATTGCTCCTCAGCCTCTCCAGGGTGGAATCAGAACTGTATCATGTCTGCCATTCTATCCACTCTGTTCCTCCAGAGATCTCTAACACGATGTTCGCGAACTCCTGGCCCTTCTGCCTCCACCTCCCCACTGCCAGGATTTCAGGTATGTGACACGGTGACTGCTCTGCCATCTTTTCCTGTTGCCCTGAGAACAGGAGTCCCTACTGCCAGGGGCCCACTCAGCAAGAGCCTTACCTGCACCAGGAGGTTCTGGAGCCCGATGAGCAGGGAGAGCACTTGTGATGTTCCCAGTGGAGCTAGGACAGCGTCCTCGGGAGCGGACAGTGGTGGACCCCCTGAGGGTACCAAGTCCACCAAGGCCGAGGAAAAGCTTTGCTGAAGGGCTGTCCGCAGGAACCGTAGGATGGCGGCTGGAAAGAGGGGACTCCTGACACTCAGTTCCTCCTCCTCCCCCACCTTCTACCCAAGTGGGGGAGCAGTGCTTCTGAACAATTCTGACCTAGGTGGGTGGTCCCATTTCAGAATCTATGGGAAAGGCTTTCTCCCCTCCTACTTGGTACACCGTACCTGACAGCAAGGCAGGCTTTTTCTTTGGAAAGCTGAGAGTCTTCAATAGTTGGTTCAGTTCCACAGATAACGTCTGATGGACCTGGCAGGGAAGCCGAAGAAGCAGGAAGGGCTAAGCCTTCAGTGTTCTGGAAGCATGGGCAGAAAATGTCCTGCCCACCTCCTGTTGCACCTCATTACATGGAGACAGAGAGGCAACCTGGAGCCCTCTGAGCCTTACTGTCAGGAGCGTGAAGAGGACAGTCAAGCCTGTACCTACAGAACTAACTCCTCTCTGAAGTTACACCCTCCCCCACCCCCTACCTCCCACTCCCCACCCCCGACATCAACAGCCTCCAGGAAGCCTTCCTCAGGCTGGAGGGATGGCTCAGTGGTTAGGAGCATTGTCTGTTCTTCCAGGAAGCCTTCCTCAGCCTCACCTGCAGTTCAGGCTGTCTCCACTCCCTAACTCAGAAGACCTAGGATCCCCACAGACCAAATCAAAACTTTGGCTCCGGCCAAGAATAGTGGTTCTTGCCTTGAGAGGAGGATTGTGAGTCTGAGTCCGGCCTACATTACATAGTAAATTGCTATACAAATATAAAGAAAAACATGCTGGCTCTGCTGCTTGTGTGGCCTTGGGGAAGTCACTACGCCCCTCTCCGCCTGCCTAGCTTTCTTCCTACAAAGCAACACCAGTGCTTCCTGCTTTCCCTCCCTCCAGAGCTATTTTGGAGACTGGTTCAGGAGCATCGAAAGTAAACATGCACCTAGTGTCCAAACTGAGCAGCTAGAAGGGACGACAAGTTCAAAGCCGGCCTGTTCTGCTCACCTCCACCAGAAGCTGTCAGAGGGCAGGAATTACTACTCTGTTTGGCTCTTAGTCTTGCCCAAAGAAATTCCTTAAACATCCTAGACTGGGTTAGGATGCAGCAGAGCCTAGAGCAGGTTGTTGGCTGGGTACACGCTGATGGCCAGGCAAAGTCAGGAAGGAGGAAAGGAGGAGCAAGCTTCTACCAGGCTCATGGCCACAGAAGTGTAAGTGGTCCAGGCTTCTCACAGAGAAAGATAGGGAAGGTTTCTGTTCTGAATCAAACATGGGACAGTCACCCTAACCTACAAAAATCACATTCGGGAGGTAGAGGCAAGAGGATGGCCAGTGTTAAAGGCCAGAATCAGCCACACAGCAAACTGAGGCCAGTCTGAGCCCCATGACACCCTATCTCAAAAAAAAAAAAAAAAAAAGCATAGTTATACATGCCTTCAATCCCACCATTCCAGTGGCAGAGGTAGGCAGATCCCTGTGAGGTAGAGACCAACACGACCTACACAGCAAGTTCCAGGGCTACCTAGAGGAACCCTGTCTCCGTAAATAAACAAAAACAAACAAAAATCAACCCTACGCAACACCCTGCAGGGTCTGCCCCAGCACGTAACTGCTACAGGCTGTTATCACCGTCAGAGCCAAAACGGACCTCCCTCCTAACTGATGAACACCCGCGTGGCCGTCACTAGGCTGGCAGCGCTGACACGCTGTGCAGAGACTATGGAGGCTCAGGGATGGTCTGTCCGTGAGCAGCAGCTAGTCTCGGGCAAGAGACGCTTGAACATGAAACAGCCAAGAGTGGAGCTCACAAAGGGCATTGGGATGTCAAGGTCCTACAGAAGGGAAAAAGGTTCTCTGTGTGTCTGTCCACTGCTGTCGTGTTCCCCGCCCCGACCTCCAGCAGTGACAATGACAGCTGATGACACGTGGCCCTTTGCATCTTGCCGCTGGGCACGACAGGGTCACAGCTGGCTCCTGCTTTCGTGTCTAAACCGATCTCGCTGCTCACAATCTCATTCTAGCCACGCAGACCAGATCACCCCTAAATACGTGTCCCATGTCCTAAAACTGTGCATTTTAATGCCCTTGCCCACATTGTACTCTCCGCCCCGTAGCACCTTTGCCCACCACCTTTGTCAAGCACAGTCTCACTTCAAGGCTCTGCTTAGCAATCACACTCCTTAAAGGCAGGGCAAACGCGATAGTCCTTTTGTATTTCTCCGTGCCGAGAATACAGCCTGACTCGTAGGTGTTCCGCTTGGATTTAAACCCTGTCAACAACCCTGCCTCCCCCGCTCCCCACTTCGGAGGTAAGAACTCTGAAATTCAGAACAGTTGCCAGGGTCACATATGTAAGAGGCCACAGAACTGGGAGCGGAGCCCAGGAGTTCTGCCACTGCTTCCAGCGCGTCTCATGTTCCAAAGACACGGCACTGGATACCAACCTGCAAATTGCCTTCGTGCTGCTGCGTGGAGAAGGAGGCAGTGAGCAGCCAGGCCGAGCACAGCAGAGAAGTCCTGGGAGAGCCTGCTTCTGTCCAGGTGAGGGCGAGCATCTTCTCCAGAAGCTCAATCAAGGCTGTGCTGCTGAGCAGTACAGCAGCAGCTGCAAGGAGGAGAGACAGGCTTGGCATCCAGCTTGGTTCCTCTATGGTGCTGAGAGCCCCCACTAGGGCTCAGAGCACATAGAAACAAACGAACGGATCATCGAGGCGACCTAAGGAGCCTTGCACTTTGAAGAATGACAGACTATCAGAATCAGGAGCTTCTATCACTGTCAGCCACGCACAAACTCCTAGAATTTTTTTTTAAGAAGAGAAACTGAAGAACCCCTGGTGCTGGCCTCTGCTGTGGCTGCCTGGGCCCCTGTACCTCTTTTCTGGCTACTGGGTGTGGTCCGGTGAAGACTCCAGTACAAGAAGTTGAAGGAGGGCTGCAGGATGTCCACCTCTGCAGGGCCGCACTTCCCACACAGCTTGCTCACTGCGAGAAACCAGAGTCACAGCTGGCCGAGGGCGCGGCACCCCACAGGTTAAGCACTCTCCCACCCCACACAGAGGCTGGCCCACCGCTGGCTGATTTCAGAGGCCAGCCTCAGGGAGAACACAGGCATTGTTCCACAGCCAACGGAAAGAAAGGCGGTGACAAAACTAAAGGTACATTTGTTCACGCCTTCACTCTGTACAAGCCACATAAGCAACCCACAGCCAAATGGCAACCTGAACACGCTGCTATAAGCTCACTTATCAAGGGAATCCTCACTGTGCATATGTCCGCCTGCCACCGTAGCGATGGTCCTCGTTCGCTAAGCTCTTCCAGCCTCTTAATTATCCCAGCAAATGAGTACCTGCCGCATTCCCAAGGTAATTCTGTGATGCTGCGCTGGCAATTCCCTAGACTTGCCACCCTCTCTCCTCCACCCCTTCTTCCTTCCACCCTCCCTCTCTGGTTCTCAAGACAAGGTCTCATGTATCCTGGACTAGTCTTGAATTCACTGTGTCACTGATGACAGTATTAACACCTTTGACCCTCCTGCTTCTGCCTTCCAAGTGCTGGAGAACAGGTACACACCTCCATGCCAGGCTTACTTTCTTTTCTAAAAAAGCCTTGCTATATAGTCCCAGTTGACCTTGAATTTATAGCCTTCCTGCCTCACCTCTAGATTACAGGCAGAAACCATAACATCTGGGATGTTCTCTTTCCTACATCGCTGCTTTCTGACTAAAGCAACTCCAAATCAGCCACCAAAATTTAGACTGGAGACTCCAGTGTTGTAGCCTTTCATGAGCTGCCTATGCTGGGATAGCTCTGCTCTTCCTCGTCTTTCTCCTCTTCCTCCTGTTTCCCTTCCTCTTCCTCCTTCTTCTAGACAGGATCTCTCTACATAGCCACAGCTGTCCTGGAACTCATGATGTAGACCAGGCTGGTCTCGAACTCACAGAGATCCTCCCGACCCTGCCTCCTAAGCGCTGGGATTAAAAGCGTGTGCCACCAAACCTGGTTCGCACTGTTCAACCATGCTGCTACCTCTGAGTCACCCTTGTTCTTAATTCCAGTAAATTCACTGGCTGAACGGGGATGGAATCCTTTTTGTGGTCAGATAGTTTCCTATCAGAGCAGAATATAGACGTTTCCTTACATTCTCCCAGACGGGATGCAGCATTACAAACACGACAGAACCAAAGATTCAGGGTGGAGCAACTGCATGGCCTCTGCTAAAGTTGTTAAGATATGCAACTAAGCATGTTAGGGTGGAGCACCCACGGAGAAAATCCAGGGTAGCTGTCTTTCTCCATGTGGGGTGACACGCCACCTTGATGAATATGACTGCCATGGATGTAAGTACAGGGATGGCCCCTGTACGGGAGACACTAGACGATACACTGCAAGCCCTGGGAACACACATGGGGCTAGAACGTAAGGAGCTGTGGTGGGACACGTGACTATTTTAAAACGAGGAAAGCGCTGCTGAGATGGCTCTGTGTGTAAGAGCACTGGCCACAAGGACTGAAAACTTGAGTTCACTCCCTAGAACCCACAAGAAGATGGAAGGAGGGAACTGACTCCACAGAGTTAGCCTCTGACCTCCACACACACGCTGTAGCGTCCCGTGGGCACATGGAAACCATACAAACACCGGATAGCAGTAAATAAGTCTCCATTCTGTGGCTCCTGGCATGGATAAGACACACAACTGAGGCTGCCTAGCAGGAGCCTGCCCACTTAAGGAAGGAAGGAAGGAATTATGATGTGAAAGGACATGACAATGGACTCCTCCATGTTAGCCTCTGACTTGGCAAGAGAAGAGGATAAGAGAGAGGATGCAGTAGAACATTGGTTCAGAAAGATTTGGCTCAGGCCAGGCATGGTAGCATACATCTGTAATAACCAGTGTTCAAGAGGCTGAGGCAAAAGCAATTCCAAATTTGGAGCCACCGTGTGTTATCTACCAAGATCTTGTCTCCACAATAATAGAAAATTTCAGTTGACAGATTATCTCTGTAACCCTTATTCGCAGATTGGACGGCTCATTTGTACTTCCAAACAGAGCAGCCATGACACCGAAGAGTGGCACCCTAGAGGACATTTCCCTCTCGTTCTGGAATCAGCATGCATACGCTGACACAGTGCTGTTGATTTAATGCTATCTAGGATGGTCCGGATTCACTATATAACCAAGGCTGACCTTGAACTCCGGATCCTCCTCCCTCTGAAGTTCTGGAGTCACAGGTCTGAGTCACCCCACACAGCTTCAGAGACCCTCCTGAAGGCTGGTCTTATCAAGCACAGAGCCCCCTCCAGCACTGTGCCAGCCTTGGCCTGACAGCAATGATCAAGCAACATACAGACACTGGGTCTGGAGCTATTATCAACGATCTTTCTGAGCCCTCTGAGGAAGCCTGTGCTCTGGACGGGGAATTCCACCCGTCCTGTCCTGCAGCCAGAAGAAGACCTAAATCCGCAGTCCCTGAAGACGATCTGGTATTTCTTCAACTCATCTGAACTTTTCCCCCAGTGTTCCTGTTCATGCTGCCTGTGAAGCAGTGACTACAGTCACAAGCAGTGAAAGGTCCCAGTCAGGGCTGGGTCATAGGTAAGGGAGAGGTGTAGAAGGCCACGGACTAAGCTCCCTGGGTAAGAGCACTTGCTGCTGCTGATCTGAGTTCAGCCCCCACATCCTACAGTAGGAGAATGCAACCAACTCTGGAACATCTTCCTCTGACCTCCACGTGCATGTCACAGCACAGGCACACACACCCATCACACACACACACACACACACACACACACACACACACACACTAATTATAATAAATAAAATCGTGTTAAAAGAAGGATGCCCAGAGAACTGTGAACTGGATGATCTGAGTCAGCCATAAGATAAGGAAGACAGCCTGACCTTACACAGACTGTACCCAGAAGGCTACTGTTGTGTCAAACACTACACAGCTGCCAAAACACATGCCTGTTTCTCAACCCTACATGAGAGATGTTCCATTCTTAGCTATGAGCATAACACAGGCACCTTGTAGCTGATAGCTAACATGTAATAGCCCTTCTGATTTCACTAGAGCTTGTGCTGGTTTGCTGTTTTGGGGTTTTGTTGGTTTGTTTAGGGGGTGGGGTCTCTCAAATATTGCTTTACAATGAGCAGAGGAGGCCAAAAGACATCCCCGTGAACAGGTTATCTCTTCTTCTGAAGGAGGGAACACCCGTCACTGCTGAGCGGGCCCCAGTGCAGTCAGCCCCAGGCCCACAGTGGGCAGTGTCTCAAGCAGCCAAGGCACCTTGATGAAGCAGCTTCATGGCCATGCTGTCCAGTTCTTGCTCTGACTCATTCCTCATCTGCACCAAGGACAGGAGGCTCAGCAGCAGGGGCAGGTTCCCCGAGGCTGTGAAGAACAGGAATGGGCTGCTCAGAGAGCCAAGCTCAGCCCACCCAGACGTCAGCTGTCTCCCTGCCACAAACAGCCTTGCGTGAGGGCTCCCAACTCTATTCTCAAAGGAAATAGGATCTGGTAGCCCGCTGGAATTCACCACTGCCCCCTGGCTTCTTCCTTCTCATGGGTGACGGTAGCAGCTCATACACCCAATGCCAAGTCTGGGTAGCTATCAGGAATCCATTAGTTCACCGAAGTCCAAAAGACATGTGAAATAGGGACTTCTATTCCTATTTTTGCAGTTAAGAAAACAAAGCTCAGGTCTGAAGAGTTGGCTCCGTGGTTAGGAGCACTGGTTGCTCTTGCAGGGGTCCTGAGTTCAATTCCCAGCAACCACAGGATGGCTCACAACTACTGCAGGATCTGACGTCTCATGGAACCTGACACCCTCTTTTGGTGTGCAGATGTACATTCAGACGCTATACCCATATACATAAAGTACAATTTAAAAAGAAAGAAAATAAAGCTCGCTGACTGTAGTGGTGCACACACCTTTAATCCCAGCACTCGGGAGGCAGAGGCTGGCAGACCTCTATAAATCTGTGGCCAGTCCAGTCTATATGAGACCTTCCTTAAAAAAAAAAAAAATCAGCCTCTCTAAAAATAGCTAAAGGCAAATTAACCGAAAATTTAAGTTTCTTCACACTGAAAAGCCAGCTTCTGGGCCTGCTAGCACACCCTCCTGGATCTCACTGGGGATTCAACCCATCACAGACCCACCCTACTCCCACAGCCCTGCTGGCTCGCCAGCCTCCCCCAGATTTCGACTTTCTTTTTCCTTCTGGGAACTGCCATTTTTGTGACAAACAGCTGTGAGCACACGCTGTGTGTGCGGTGTAGGGGCTGGCCAGATTTTTCTTCTGTTGCAAAACCCGATTTTCTTTCTTAAAGCATGATTCACCAAAACAGAATGGTCTCCTCTCCACGGCAAACCGGGTCCAAGGAAAACTGACCTCCTGAGGTGGCAGCTCTGTACTCCATCAGCAGGTGCTGCAGGATGAGCAGGAAGTGGCCTCGGATGAGGCCGCCCACTTCAACATCTTCATTCTCCCGCATGAAGGTCCTCAGGGCAATCAGCACCTTGCGGGCTATGCCCTCAGGACTGGAATAGACAAGGTCCTGAGAAGAAAAGGAAGCCGGAGTTCAGAAAGCACACAGCCAAGGACAGACAGACAATGGAGGAAAAGAGCTGAAGATGATGGTTTCGCAAAAGCTCAGCACCTTATTTTGTACCACAGGCTCTGCCAGATGCAGAGAGTCCTTACAAACCCTGGAGAAGAGTCCCATCGTCAAGAAGCAAACAGAGGCTCGGGGACAGTAAATGACACCAATGATGTGAACGTAGGTCTCTGGTCTTAGGATACCTCTCTTGTAACTTAAAGTATTAGGGTTAAGAAGAGGTTGTTTTAGGAGCAGGAACCCTGTGAACCAGGAGACAGTAGAGAGGACAGAGATGCCATGGGTCAGGGAAAGAATAGGCTGGGATAGATTCAGGCCTTAGGACAAAGAGCAAGGACCAGGTCAGGCCCCTTCTCTGCCATGGCATCTGCCCATCCCTGCCCCAAGCTGTGAAGGTCTTGGGTTCAGGAAATGGAAAGGGACATTTTATTTTGTTCGTGCCTTCTGAGTTATTTTAACAAGTGTGTGTGTTGAAGGCCAAACAGGCAGAAGGGACAGCAGTAGCTGTCTCTGATAGCTCCTGGGGCCTACCAGCTGGAATCAGCTGATGACTTCGGACAAGCAAACGTGTCAAGCCAGTTAGGACAGGGTGCTATGAATCCAAGGTCACACAGAGGCCGCCTATCCAGAGGGAACAGCTCCCAATGCAGAGAAACGTGACCGCAGGGCACTTGAGCCAAACAGTCCTGATGTGCTAATCACTGGGCAGGCAGGACACAAAGAGGAAACATGAGCATAGGCTTGGGCTCTGGACAATCAATGACAAAATCAGCAGTAACTGCTCAATTAGAACCTAGTAACATCGTCACAGCGCTGTTTTTGTATCATAGCCAAACATGTCTTCCTCATAACTCTTCCAGTTAGGACGTGTCAATCGGGAAAGTAGGACAGGTGGATTAGTTGTCTATCAAGAAGACAGTAGACAACCAGGAGGGTGAGGGAGAGGACTTCCATGCATGTGAGGCCAGCCTGGGCTATGTATTAATTTTCCAGCCTAGCCTAAGCTACAGAATAAGGTGCCTTAAAGAGAATAGTAGTAGTGTGTGTGTTGATGAGGGGGAGGGGAGAGGTAACTTTACCTCTGCAACCTCACAGAGACTCAAAAAAAAAAAAATCTAGGCAGACAAAGTCACAAACTGGAGAGAGCTAGTGAAATCTAGGGAATCTAGAAAGTCTAGATCATGTCAAAGATAGATGCTCTCTATCCAGCACAAGCTAGAACTGTAGAACTCAGAAGACCGAGACAGGTAGGACTAATGTTCAAGGACAGCCTGGGCTACAGACTGAGCTCTGCTCCAGGCCCGCTCAGGCTCAAAAACAACAACGTGTAACTGATAATATGTGTCTCATTTGATCCAACTCCCCTACTTTAAAGAGTGTGAGGCTGAAATCTAAGGTAGGAATGATTTACTCGGGGTCAAGAGAGTAAAGTTCAACCCAATTTCTCGGCTGTCCTTCGCTGGCCCATCTCTGCCCCACAGCCACAAAATGGGCTCCCTCAGAAGTTGTGGATTTTAAAGGGTTACACTTTTTTATTTTTATTTTTGCTGGTCACAGGAAATGCCGCACGGCCTAAAGGAAAGGGGCTACGTGTTCTTTGCAGACCCCACTGCTGCCTGTTGGTGCGAAAAGGAGTTGGCTGGACCCACGACCCACTGCATTTTCAACTGCTCAAAGCTGTCCAGACTCAGAACAGAGCATCTATAATATCCTTGTTTTTCACAGCTAAACAACGTACGTGAAAGGCCACCCATTGATAAGAGTGCCAATTAACAGCTTTGTTTTCAGCTGTTAATTACCCATGTCAAAACCAGAAATGGGTCCCAGCACATATTTTTAGACTCTTTTTCCCTCCTGTGGCGATAATCTAAGAAGAAATGGTGGAAATTATATGTGTGAACAGAAAGCAAAGTTGTTCTGGCTGTTCTTTTCACTGCTGATGTTTCTGGAACCTAATTTAGTCAAGCTCGGTAACTGTGGTCTCCAGTCTTGGCCATGATCTTTATTACCTGGGGAAATTCTGTTAGCATCCCTGACATGAACATTATCTAACTCAGACTCAGAGGCAATGATGAGAAAGGATCCCCTGTATACAGCATACATTTAATATTCCTATTTACCACAGCCTTCCTGCTCTCCATTTTACCTGAAACACAGAAAACTCCATTTTCCATCTCTAAACAGCATCCAACATTGAAGGTAGATCCTTCCTACTGAGCTCTAGACAAAGGAAAAAAGATTCCTATCCTGATGCAACCATCTCCAAGGAGCCAGGCCTGAGCTAGTGGGCTACAATGGGGCACCCCATCACTTCCCGAGAACATGGAATCTAAGGATTTGGTCTTCTAAGGTTCACTTTCTCTTTGGCCTGCTTCTTGTAAGTACTTTTTTTTTTTTTTTTTAAGATTTATTTATGTTTACAAGTGCTCTATTTGCATGTACACCTGCATTCTAGAAGAGGGCAGATTCCATTATAGACAGTTGTAAGCCACCATGTGGTTGCTGGGAATTGAACTCAGGACTTCAGGCTATTCCTCCAGTGCTCTTACCACTGAGCCATCTTTCTAGCCCCCTTCTTCTAAGTACTTTTTTTTTTTTAAACTGGTGGTCCAGGGCAGTTTTCCACCTGTTCTGGTGGAAAGTTAGGTGGCAGCCTGTACCCAAAAAGGCTCAGACTATGAAAGGAACTGAAGGAAGAGATAATAAGCTGCCTCTTTTAACAATTATTTATAGATTTCTATGTTTACTTATTTATGAACTCAGCACTTCATGCCTTCCAAGCACACAGTCTCCCACTGAGTCACACCTCCATTCCAAGGAGCTCCACGTTAGAGCTCCTACATGCTAAGTTCATGGCTGGCATTATACGACTGAGCTTAGAGTGGTCGGGAGTGAAGCATACAGGAAGAAGGCCACAAGAGCGAGGGTAGGTGAGCCAACCCCAGGGGAGATACACTGAGTGAAGACAGCCTTGTACAGAACTTTGAAGAATGCCATCCTTGAAGACCTGGCCAGGGGACGGTGAAATCGATGAGAGTCTGAGGAGGAGCATCGAGAGGGGATCAAAATCAAGAGATGGCATACCTTAAACCAAGGCTGTGTCACTAAAAAGAAAGCAGAAGCCATCAATATCAACAGGGCATTTAAGATGAGTACCAACAAGTGTACTCATCAGTGGTAATTAGACACAGAGGCATCTTTGTTATCATTGTGATGCAGTTTTAAGGAGCATCAGGACCTAAACCCAAAGTGTTGATGAATTAAGGAGATGGAGGTGAAAAGTTTGAAGTAGGCAATTACTTCTAAGAGTTGTGTTGTACAAAGGAAGGAAATTAAAATATAAAGAACAGGAGGCAGGACTCATGAACCCATAAGTAAAGATAGAAGACCTACAGAGCAACTAGGGCTCACACTCACAAGAAAAAAAAAAATCAATCAAGCCGGTGGTGGTGCATCCCTTTAATCCCAGCACTCAGGGAGGCAGAGACAGATAGATCTCTGTGAGTTTGAGGCCAGCCTGGTCTACCGAGTGAGTTCCAGGACAACCAAGGCTACACAGAGAAACCCTGTAGAAAAGAAAAAAAAAAAAATCAATCAATCTGGACTCAGATGAAGAGATGGCTCAGAGGTTAAGAACACTGGCTGGGGCTGGAGAGATGGCTCAGAGGTTAAGAGCACTTGCTATTCTTTCAAAGGTCCTGGGTTCAATTCCCAGCAACCACATGGTAGCTCATAACCATCTATAGTAAGATCTGGTGTGCAGGCAGAATGTTGTATAGATAATAAATAAATCTTTAAAAAAAAAAAAACACTGGCTATTCTTCTAAAGTTCCTGAGTTCAATTCCCAGCTGCCACATATTAGCTCATAATCATCTATGAGATCCCATCTATGGGATATGGTGCCCTCTTCTGGTGTACAAGCAGAATGCTGTATAAATAATAAATAAATAAATCTTTAAAAATCAAATCAGTCAATCAATCAATCTCTTCCATTTTTAAAACCCAGGCTGTCCTTAAACTCACTATAAGGTTGAGAATGCCCCTGAACTTCTGATTCTCCTGCCTCCACTCCCCAAGGGCTGGGGTGCTGGGATGCATCATCATGCCCAGTTTATGAAAACTGGGGTGAAGCTCCAGGCTTCCTGCATGCTAGGCAAACACTCAATCGGCTGATCTACATCTCCCTAGGCCCACCTACCAGCAAAATGAGTAGGGTGCTAGGTGTGCTCCTGAGCATCTGGAACAGAGCTGTTAAGTTGGCAGGAAGGACTATACGCCCAGGAGGCAAGTCGGCATCCAGGTTCTCATAGCCGCTCTCTTCCCAAGAGAACCAAAGTTCCAAGACACCGTGTCCAAACCTACTCATCAGTCCTGGGTACATCAAGAAGAGCCTGAGCAGGAGGGGGTGGTGAGTGTAGATGAGGCGCAGGTCTGAGATGCCCTCTAGGAACTTTCTGATTGCACTGACCACAGCCTAGAGGGAAGAGAAAGCAACTAAATATACTTTGCAGAGGACCTGAAACCCCAACGACTGCAGAAAACGTCCTGGCGTCTCGGCGTCCCAGGACATCCCACTGCTCATCCCAGTCTCTCCGTGGGAAAACCCTACACTGCTTACCTTGTAATACCAGTTCTGAACCAGGGGTGACTCTGTTCCCTGTGTGATACTTGGTAAGGTTTGGAGACGTTTCTGATTACCATGACTAGGGAAGGGCACCACGGTGGGCAGGGGGACAGGGGAGCGGTGCAAGATAAAAGTAGTGCTGAGGCTGAGGGAGCCAACCCTACCAAGACACCTAATTATCAATATTTCTGTATGTCTCCTGCCCTCAGCCGCCTGGGGACAGATGCACCCGCAGAGGGCCCTGGCTCAGAAGGGAGAAAGCTGATGTGTGTTGAATCGTTTACTAAACCCTAAAAACCGACTCCTCTGCCATAGAAAACGGTCGACGTTCAGATTCCTTAATCTTGACAATAAAGATTAATACAAGGACTGGTTTGATTGGGAAATGTCCAGGTTTGTATGGCATACCCCAGAGTGTCTGTGAGGGCATTTCCAGAAAGACTACTTAAGTGGGGAGGTATGGGACACCTGCCCTGAGTGTGTCACCATTCTAGAGGGTGGGGCCTACATGGAATAAAAGGGGGGGAAGCCATTAGAAATTTGTGGCTTAGTTGCACATGATGGCATATGCTTCTAATCCCAGCATACGCAGGCAGATCTCTGAGTTCAAGGCCAGCCTGGTCTACACAGTGAGCCTCAGGATAGCCAAGGCTATACTGAGAGACTATCTCAAGAAAGAGAAGAGAAAAGAAAGAAGGAGATAGAGGGAAAGAGAGAAAAGGGGAACAAGGGAGGGAGAGGAGAGTGAGAGAGGAAAGGAGGGAGGGAGGGAGGGAAGGAAGGAAGGAAGACAGAGGGAGGGAGGGAGGAAGGGAGGGATATATTCATGGCTGAGTTACAGAGCAACAAGCTTGTCTCAAAAAGAGGGGTGGGTACTGCAGATGCCTCAGTGGTCAAGAGCACTTGGTAGTCTTGTAGAAGACCTGAGTGAGCTCAGTTCCCAGAACCTAGTCAGGCAGCTAACAACCACCTGTAACTCTAGTTCCAGGGAATCTAACACCTTTCTCTGGCCTCCAAAGGCATCTACACAACATAAATAAAACGAAAGTCTTTAAAAAGTGGAGGCAGGACTAGATTGGTAGATTCTTGCTCAGCACTATGCCGGCAGTGTCCAAACCAGGCTGTAGTTCAAATGCCTGCGAGCCAAGCTTTCAGGAGGTAGAACCAGGAGGATCAGAAGACGTTCAAGGACATTATTGGCTAAATAATGAGTTAAGGCCAACCACATGAGCTGCTGTCACCAGAAAAAAAAAAAAAAAGTCAAGATCATGCACTATTTTTTTAAGGAAAAAAAAAAAAGATGAGAGAGAGAGAGAGCAATGTGATATGTACTTCTGCACTAAACCTTAGACTGGAGGAAAATGGCTATAAAGAACACTATTAGGAAATTTGGTGGCTAAGGTTGCAGCTCGGTGGTAGATTGCTTATGTAGCATGTTAAAGTAGGTTTAACCCCCACACTCAAAAGAAAAGTGAAATGAGACTATTACTTAATGCCTGAGAATATCTCTAGATTTTGTTTGAGACAGAGCCTCACTCAGATTGGTCTAGAACTCACTAGGCAGTCTGACTTGGCCAAATTCTTGCTGTCCTAGATTCTCAAACGCTGTGACTACAGATGTAAGCCACCACTGCCAACTGAGAAGGCTGTTATTTTGGGGGAAATACATATTGAAGCATTTAAGGAAAAAAAAAAGACTATCAAAAACTGTCTCAGAATTATTTTCAAGTTGTTTAGAAAAATAGGATTGGGGGAGAGTAAAATAAAATTAATATTTTAAAAATATATATAATTTTTAAATTTTGTATTCATTGGTGTTTGGCCTGCGTGTGTGTCTGTGCGAGGGTCTCCAGGAACTGGAGTTACAGACAGGTGTGAGCTGCTGTGTGGATGCTAGAAACTGAATCTGGGCCCCCTGGAAGAACAGCCAGTGCTTTCAACCACTGAGCCATCTCTCCAGCTCTGTAATATTAATTTTTTTTTTTTCGAGACAGGGTTTCTCTGTGGAGTCTTGGCTGTCCCGGACTCGCTTTGTAGACCAGGCTGGCCTCGAACTCACAGAGATCTACCTGCCTCTGCCTCCCAGAGTGCTGGGATTAAAGGCATGCACCACCACCCCGGGGCTAATTTTTTTTTTAAAGGGATAAATTCAAGTAATAAATATTCTTTGAGTTGTTTTTGTAATTTTTTTATAACTATGAAATAATACCAAAATAAACTTGAGTAAAATATAAAGTTGAGTTGTGGTGATAGAGAGGGCACTGCACTGAGAAAGCTAAGGCAAGAGGATTACTTCAAGCTTGGGACAGCCAGAGTTGTAATATGACAGCCTGTTCTAACTCCCCTCTAAATCAGGTTGTGGTTGTGTATTACATTAACATATTTATGTAAAAATTAAGCTAAGACTATAAGGCTGTTGTTTTTTGTTTTTGTTTTTTAAGTGTTATATAACATTATGGATTCACGCCTAAAAATGAAAGCCTTAAGTGCCATGTGCTTCCTCCTCGGCTCCCACACTAGCAGAGGCAGATCTGAAGAGACCCTGCAATCCAGCCTTGCTACATGAGGTGTCTCTGGGACTGTTCCCATCATGATTTTCTCCTCTGCCCCCCGGCAGTCACAGAAGCCCAGAATCATTCCCCCGGGGCTCAAGATCTTTCCTGCTCTCCCTGTCCCGTCTTACTCAACTCCCCAAACTTTGCACTGTACCCTCTGGAAACCGCGGTTACTGAAACAATTCTACATTTTCAGACTTCTTTGAGCATCTCCTCCTCTCTATGGCTTGTGGTCTCATCCCAAAACTGGTCCTCAAAATACCTCTCCAGTGGAGGTATTTTCTGTCCCACCTCCCCACTTCCAGAACCTGGACTTCTAAGTTCGGTGTCTTTCCCCCCCGTTTCTTTCACCTGCCTCAGACATTCATGTCTGTGGTCCTGCCCACCCAGGCCTGAAAACCCGAGTGCAGTCTCCAGGATCCACACAGCGAAAGGAGAACACACTCCTGCAAGCTGTCCTCTGACCTCCACGTGAGTTCTGTAGCATGTGAGTTTTCTCCTAGCTTCTGCAGGCACTACATGTGTGTTGCATGCACACATACATGCAGGCAAAAACACCATACACATAAAAAAAAAAAAGATGGGGAAGGAGTGAAAATATAACAAGCTCATTCCCATCCTTCCCCTCCAACCCCAAAAAATACCTGCTATTTAAAGGGAAAGCATTCAGACTGGGGATACAGCTCAGCGGTGTGAGCTCACTTATGTGAGTTTCTTTTCTGACACCCAAAATAGAATTTAACCTGTTTCCTATACAATCTGTCCTTCAGAGTAAATGAATGATTGATAATGTATTCTAGTTAACAGCTGGAAGGAGCCGGGCCTGGTGTGTCTATTGTTGGCTCAGTACCCTGGAGGAATGAGCAAGAGGATCAAGAGTTCAAGCTCATTAGAAATTTGTGGCTCAACTGCTTAGCTGTGCTTGATGGCACATGCTTACAATCTCAGCAGAGATAGGCGGATCTCTGACTTCAAGGCCAGCCTTGTCTACAGAGTGAGTCTAGGACAGCCAGGGCTACACAGAGAAACCCTGTCTTGAAAAACAAAACAAAAAAGAAAGAAAGAAAAAGACACAGAAGCAAACTTCTCTGAAAAACTTCAGTTATGAGTCACTTGCTTTCCAGGAATTATAAAGAAGTTAGAGAAAACATGTACAATGAAACTACAACAATCTTTAAAATGATTCAAAGTTGCCCAAGAGGCTAAAGGTCAGCTAGGTGTGGTGGCACATGCCTGTAATCCCAGCACTTGGGAGGCAGAAGCAGGTGGATCTCTCTGTGAGTTTGAGGCCAACCTGGTCTACACAGCAAGTCCGAGACAGCCAGGGCTACACTGAGAAACCCTGTCTTGAAAAAAACAAAAAAGAAAAAAAAAATCCAAAGTGGTGGGAAGAAAGTTAAAAAAAAACACACAAAATCAAACAAACAAACAAACAAACAAACAAAAAAAAACAATAGCCAGGTGTGGTTAATTCTAGTTACTTAAGCCAGAGCACTTAATTCTAGTTACTTGGAAGACGGGGGCAGGAGAATTCCAAGTTTGAAAAAAAAAAAAAAGGTCTAGAAGACAGCTCAGTGTTGGTGGAGGATGTGGAAGGCCTTGGGTTCAATCTCCAGAACCACCCCCTACACACACACACACACACACACACACACACACACACACACACACAAAAGCACAGACTGATCCACTCTCCACTATGAGTCTAACTAACAGCGACCCACTCAGTCTGATTAACTGTCATCACAGCTCTCTTCCAGCACAAACTACAGGTGGCACCAAGGACAGAACCTGTGTGTCCTAGAGAAAATTCCTTCACTTTATTTTGTGGGGAGGGAGGTGTTTGTTTGAGGCTTGTCACCTGTAGCCCAGGCTAGCCTTTATTGTCTCTACCTCACTAACACTATGGGTGTGATCCCCCGCCTGCCTTAGCATCTTTCACTTCTGTCTCCATTTTCTTACCTATAAAATGGAAATAGCAACCACCACCTTGCAGGGCCTAGAGAATAGCTGATCTCTAGGCTCACTGTAGGTCAGCATTGGCCTCCTCTTTTTTTAACACTTGGACTTAGCCTCTCTCTGTCATCCTTGTCTGCTTGTATACATCAGGTTCTCCAAGAAATGTTAGCAGAAAGAGGCACAGAAGGACAGCCCCTGGCGGCCTGGTTCGTACCTCACCCAGTGTGCTGTCCTTGTCCTGGCACACTGCCAGCAGATAGATGGCAGCTTTGCAGACGGTTGGTGGGGGGTGCTCACCCTGGTCCTGCAGAGACAAAAAGAAGCTCTGCACGGCCACAAATAAGTCTGCTTCGGGGACAAACCTGTTGACCAAGGAGAGCCTGAGTGAGGAAGGCGGAGCTGCCAAGCCAAGGGAGCCTTCTACTCTGCCTGGCCCCGTCCTCCCTCAACCCAATGTCCTTCCCCAGCATGACCACAGCCGGATAACACCACGCCCAGACAGTGTGTTGTATAGACTTTCGCATGTACAATATAAAATGCACTCACTCAAGCGCACATGCATAGATGAACACGCATACATACAAACAAATATTCATTACACGGACTGGGCTACGGACTCACCACCGGCCGGCAGCTCCAAGCACTGACCTGTCTTCGTGGATGTGAGCAAGATGGAAGAGGAGCAGGATGCAGTACTGTCTCTGGCGTGCGGCGACCTCCACACACTGGGGATCTGACAGGAAGGCAAGACTTTCTGAGGTGCTGCTGCTTATCTGGGGCAGTCCATGCTGTAGGAACTCAGACACTGCAGAGAGTTCTGGGAAGGGAGCAGGCAGCGAAAGGTCATAAAGAGAGCACAGGAAGGTAGATAGCGACACTGAGAGCCATTGCACGTAGATGCTACACAGGGCACCAAGGGTACACAGAGGGAATTGGAGGTTCCTCTTCCCTTAGCAGCTTTCAGCCAACCAGAAGAGACTGAACTTAACATGTGGAAAGACACAGACTGCATGTATTCTTTATTTTCTTTCTCTCACTCACTCATTCATTCCTCTGATATATACTCACTAAGTGACTACTCTAGATCAGCCTGTGGAACATACCAGAGCCCCTGAGGGAAGAGATAGATAAGACAGACCATTGTAGGATGGATGGTCAGTGCAATGTTCCAGTGTGGAGAGAGTAACTTAGGCCACCTGTGGTGGAGAGGGTAGGCTTCAAGGGCAGAGAATTATAGAGGATGAGCGCAAAGCAGGCAGAGAAGGGAGAAAAATGCAAGGGACAGGAAGCAAGGTGTCTGGAGGCCAGAGCCATAGGGGGATACATTTTTGCTCAGTATGAACAGATGCAGGGTGTCAAGAATGATAAGACCGTAGGGACAATTCACAACTTAACTGCAAAAGACACCAAATGCTGCTTAAACAACTTGACTATTAGCAAGGCAAATAACTACTTTAGCAGGCTGTGGTGGCAGTCAGACACATACTGGCAATGTAGCAGGATGGCACTCAGGAGGTTGGAGTAGAAGGGCAGATAGTTTAAGGACAGCCTGGGCAGCATAGTGAGATCCTGTCTCAAAACAAAAAATCAAAACAAAACAACATAAACCACTTGTATTTTTCTCCTGGGACCAGAGATCTTAGTTTTTACAAAGAAGGATAGTGGAGGGATAGAAAATGAAAGGACCATAGAGCTTTTCAACCTTTTGGAAAATTTACCCCATTACCCTTACTTTCCACAGTTCACCAAAGGCTGCTACCCAGACTGATGTGTGAGGACCACAGCTGAAGACCAGAGGAACTAAGATGCTAAAATTTCCCAGACAGATGCTTCAGCAGTGAGTGGAGACAGTTGGAGAACCAGAGACTGGAAGCAGGTACCCAAGTTGAAGGCCAACGGAAAGGTCTGTGCTACTAAGGCCAAGTCCTAAACAACATGGCAGCACAGCCCAGTCAGCAATTCTAACTCCAGTTCAACTCCCTTTCCACCACCGTGCTCCATAACGAACACGATAATGAGGTGAATATCCTCAAACCTCATACAGCCCTCCTATGATGCATACAGGAAAAAAAAATAATAAAGCTTCGAGTATGGAGCCAAGTTTACCACTCTTCCTGCCACTTTGAGATCTGGAGCGCGGGTGAGAGGGGCTTCCTTTTGCTCTGACAAGGGAACATAATGCCATGTCATGTGCTGTGCCTGCCAACAGTCTCGGGCCACCATAGCAGAGGCACTGTGGTCCTCTCTGCAAGTTATACCAGACCAGCAGACTGCTGGGTAACATGCAGCCAAGACTGACCAGCCTAATGCAGGCATCAGGCCCCAGGTCATGATGGGAGTCATGGAAATGCTTGCGAAAGAGAATGGACCAGAGAGACAGGGGAGTAGGGGGTTTCACGGATCTTCATCATGGTAAAAGATAGAAATACACTTAATACCAACTCTAGCCCACAAGGACAGGATAATATTTGAACACCGTCTGGACTCGCCAGGGGGCCACTTCATCCTACCTTCTTGGGAGGGTGAATCTGTCTTCTCTGGAGCCAGTAAGAGGTTGAGGCACATGTAGTAGAGAAAACTGGAACACACCTGATTTAGGGATGAGTGACTTAAAGGGAGAAGGGAGAACAAAAGGGACAGAGCATTACAACTTTGGCTGACAGTATTCACCCTGCCATGTGCTAAGACACCACCGCCTTGTACCAGAGCCCAGTGAAAGTCTAATTGCAGCTACAGTAAAGGAGACCCTAAGGTGGCCATGAAAAGTAAACAGTGGGGAAGGGTAACTGGAGAGATGGCTCAGTGGTTAAGGACATCTGCTCATCTTGTAAAGGACCCAGGTTCGGTTCCCAGCACCCATGATGGACAGCACACAACCACCTGTAACTCCAGTTCTAGGGGCTTCAATGCCCTCTTTCAACCTCCTTGGGCACTGCATGCACACAGACAAGTAGGCATAGACATACACATAAAAGAAATAAAATGTTAAAAACATCTAAAAGTAAATATGGAACCACACTTGCAATAGGCACTTGGCTCTATGGGACAACTAAAAATTTCCTCAAAAAAAAAAATCTATTAAGGAAGGCTATCAAAACATACAGACAAAAAAGAAAAGACAGAAAAGGCTAAGGAGCAGTACAAACTTAAGTAGCTGTCAGGCATGGTGGCACATAAATGTAATTCCAGCACTCGGGAGGCTGAGGCCGGAAGATTGCCACAAAATCTAGCCTGGGATAGAACATTTGCAAAAAATAAGGAGGAGGAGAAGGAAGAACAGAAAGAGGAGGAAGGGGGAGAGGAGGAGAAGGAGTAGAAGAAGGAGGAAGAGGAGGAGAAGAAAAAATTGAATTACAGTTTTGACTTTGAACCAAGGTAGATTCCTGAATGTGGGCATTCTATTCAAAGCTATGGAAGGAGAGCCACACATGGCACCGGTCATTTTGTAAGGTCTGGACATTGACAAATCCCAGATGGGAAGGTACAGATGGTGCTACAGAAAACCAGCAACGCAAATCACTGAAACAGTGACATCCACTATGAACAAGAATCAGTCCTTTGAAGTTCCTGGACTGGCAAGGACTCCAGGTTGATAAATACTGTGCCCTTTCACCTCTGAGGGCTTCAGTTTCTCCATTTAAATAAGATCACAGAAATGATCTCCAAGAGCCTGTGTTTAGCTTTCATTATTACCTTGACACAACCTTGACTTTCCTAGGAAGAATCTCAGTGACAGATTGTCTATATTGAGTTGGCCTTTGGGTGTATCTTTGAAGGTTGTGTCAATTAAGTTAAATGATATAGGAAGTCAGCCAACTGTGGGTGGTACCATTCTTAGGCAGGGGGTCCTGAACTGTATAAGAATAAAGAAAGCAGCTGGGTGAGGCACACACCTTTAATCCCCACACTCGGGAGGCAGAGCTAGGCAGATCTCTATGAGTTTAAGGCCAGCCTGGTCTAGGACAGCCAGGGCTACACAGATGAACCCTGTGTTGAAAACAAAACAAAAAAAGTAAGCACACACATTCAGTTTTCTCTTCTCTTGACTGTGGGTTCGATGTGCCTGACTGTTGGAAAGCCCTGCTGTAACTTCCCTATTGTGAGCTGAAACAAGCCCTTTTCTCCCCTAAGGTATTTTTGTCAGGGTGTTTTATCACAGACACAGAAATGAAACTAGGACAGAGCCCTCCCGGCTTTGATGCAGCAGCTGCCCGTTCACACATCGCCTTTCCACGGCAGATGAAACTGAACTCACAGAAGCACCTCCAGCTCATGTGTCAGTTGCTGGGCAACGCCAACATGGTTTCCAATACACCAGGGTCCCACGACTAAAACACCAACCAGACACTTCTGTTTGTCAGGTCAAGAAATGTTTTCTGGCCCCCTGCTGTTCGGTTCTGCCTCATACCTCTGGCCACTGCAGAATCTGGCCTTCAGCTCCAGGGTCAGTCGTATGAATGATGACTCGGCTAGGAGAAGCAGGAAGAAAGCAGAGCCACTTAAACCAGGCTTGGTGCAGAGACTCCCGGGTGCCAGCATCAGCTGGTGTTATAGCAGTGGAGCCCAATTCAGCTGTAGCTTGAAGTAGTTACCTTCTGGGACTCGGATTATCTGTGCCTCACAGACTGAAAACATCTAAGAGATGTTTGACTGGGGTCAAAGCTGGGTGACCACTGATACCCCTCCTCTCCCAATTACATTCTACTATTGCCTGGTCGATTCTACAGGCACCAGGAGGGTGCTATCCTTTGTCTCATTTCTGTAGAAAAATAATCTAGTTATGGAGAGGACAGTTGTAGTCTTTGCCCCATCTCTATAAAATCGTCCCTGTGGAGAAGACTGGATCTCAGGGCAGAGACCTGACAACACCTTCTGTCGTAGCTAGTGACCCTGGCCCAGGCTGCTCCACCGCAAGCCTTCTCCCAGTCTCCGCTCTAAGGCTCGGGTTTCGCTCCCAGCACCCATGTCAAGTGGCTCACATTTGCCTGTAACTCAAGCTCCAGAGAGTCCATACCCTCTTCTGGCCTCTGTCTGCAATGATGAATACACACCTGCACACACACACACACACACACACACACAGAGAGAGAGAGAGAGAGAGAGAGAGAGAGCTCAAAAATACCTCTTTAAAAAAGAAAGAAAGCATTCCAATTACACTACAATGACATAAGTTGCGTCATCTCTCTGACCAGTTTGTCCATCAGTTCAGTGAGGATTATATGTACTTCCTATGAGTTCTCAATTGATCAGCATATGCAAAGCATATCACAGTGCCTCGCAAAGTAAGAATGTAAATAAACTCTTAAGTTTATTGAGGACTAGAGAAAGCCAAAAAATAATAATAATAATCAGAAGCTAGACGGCCAGTGACACAGCTCAGGGAGTAAAGGCTCTTGCTATCAAGCCTGACCACCTGAGTTCCATTCTCAGGACCCACAAATAGAGAGATGGTTTATGCAAGTTGTCCTTTGATGGCCACACATACACACATGCCCTCCAAACAAACAAATAAATCCAGGGAACAGGAAGGAACCTCAGTGGACCACTGAATGGTAGCTTCTATACATAGCATGTCTGCTCCCTTAGGCAGCACCTGGAAGTACGTTAAGACCTTTTTCAGTTTCACAGTGACTAACACCCTGGCATTTGGTGCTCAGAAATCAGAAATCTGGGGGCTGGAGAGATGACTCAGCAGTTGCAAGCATACACTGTTCTTGCTGAGAATCTACTGCAGGATATTTGATCACCCTGTGCACCCTGAGGTTGTGTTGTTTACTGGGGAAAAAACTGTTACTGGTTGCGGTGTGGCTCATCCCTAGCACACACCTTTAGTCCAAGAGCTTCCTCCCTGGATTAAATAAAATCAACCACAGGTCAAGAGGTCGAGGAAGCAACCACCAGTTGAAGGGAGTGAACACAAGAAAAAACCATGGAGAGTAAGAGGAAGTCAGAAGGAGGCGTAGAGAGACGCACAGGAAGTAGAAGGGAGGGACATTCAGTTTGAGGGTTTGGGGTGGTGGTGGTGGAGGAGGAGAAAGTTTCCTTTTCCTCTGCTGAAAAGGAAGGTCAGCTGGATGCTTTCTCTGCCTCCTGAGCTACAGGCTTTCACCCCAGCATCTGGCTCCTAAGTTTTCGCTGGGAAAATCAGATTGAGATTTTGTTAAAAGCAGTAAGACTCCCAAGTTCAGTTCCCAACATCCATGTCAGGTGATACCTAACTGTTCCTATTTCCAGCGCCAGGGGACCCAACCCCTTCTTCTGGCCTCTGTAAGCACCTACGCTAACACTCACATAACCCTACCCATCCCTATGGACGCACCCACACACATCCATGAGATTTATTTTTTGTGACCGTTAAAACATTTTTATATATTTCTATTAATGTAATTAAAAAAATAAATCTTGACTGAAAATACAAAAAGAGACCCTAACCCTAAATCTCATTTGCAGTCTCGGGGGAGCCAGGTGTAATGGCACACACCTGTAATCCCAGCACTTGGGAAGCAGAGGCAGGTGGATCTCTGTGAATTCAAGGCCAGCCTGGTCTATAGTGAATTCCAGGACAGCCAGGGTTACACAGTGAAACCCCATCTCAAAAAAAGAAAAGAAAGTAATGGAGAAAGGATTGTGCCCCAAACATTTAAATAGAGTCTCCTGAACATCTAGACAACACTGAAAGTATCAGCAAATTGGAAAACTGACTAAGAGCTTTGATTGCCCCATGACTTTCCTACTGCCCCACACTGGACAGAGGAATTTCCTCAACATCTCCTCGCACGCTCTCCACAGCCACTCACCTCCCTGCAGACACCCACCATGACCTGCCACCTACCAAGCTTCCTGGAGAACTTCACCTTCATGTGGGGAACGATGACAAAGAGGCTGTGCAGGATGGAGAGGAAAACTTCCATCAGGCTTGGATCTGTGGCCTCCTCCGAGTACCTCTGAAAGTACCACAAGTGAGAGTACAAAGGGCTGAGTCTCCGAAGAAAAAAAGGGCATCTGCAAAACTGTCATAACTCTACCAAGTGGTTAAGAGTGCTGGTTGCTCTTCCAGAGGTCCTGAGTTCAATTCCCAACAACCACATGGTGGCTCACAACCATCTATAGTGAGATCTGGTGCCCTCTTCTGGTGGGCAGGCACACGTGCTGGCAGAATGCTCTATACATAATAAATAAATAAATCTTTTAAAAAAATATTCGCAGCCATCCACCTGCCTCTGCCTCCTGAGTGCCACCATGCCCATGATGTTGTGCTTACTTTCTAACGTCCTTTAAAAATTAAGGAGTATAGTTTAATAACAGACTCTTAGTGTGTGTAAAGTCTGCGGCACCAGAGAGATTTTAGGGGAAATCCTTGTACCCATCTCCCAGGGGCATAGGGAGGATAAAATTACACAGTAACTGTAAGACAAGTATCACATTATAAACATTCATAAGCTGTTTATTATTATTTTGCTGTTACAGTGATTTCAACTTTTCCTTCAGATGAATCTATTGGTTTTATAATGAAACACACTTTATTTTTCACAACCAAAGTAAAGGTGGCTGCAAGAATAAGATTACGGAGGTCCTAAAGGCTAGACATGTAGCCCCCAAGGTTTCCGCTGCCTGCGGAAAAGAACCTACCATCATCATAGGGATACACTGGGAGTCACAGGCGCTGAGAAGAAATTCTGAGAAGGCCTCCAAGGTGTCTTCCTTCTCTGCACTGGGAGCTGTGAAGGGGTTCTCCTGGGTAGAAGCCTCACCTTGGAATTCCACAGCCAACCTGAGAAATCGGTATGCATGCTCACTAAAGTAACACGCATGCACCATAAGAAAAGATTCACCCTGAGATGAGCCCTCTGAGCTCAGAATTCAGGGCAAGTATTTCCACCCTCAGATGGGGCCAAGTTCTAGAGTCCTCAATGAGCTGGGCAGTGGTCACGTGTGCCTTTGCTCCCAGCAAGAAAGCAGAGGCAGGTGGATCTCAGAGGTGGAGGCCAGTTTGGTCTACAGAGCAAGTTCCAGGACAGGCAGGGCTACACAGCAATCTCAGTCTCTGCTTCCCCACCACATATGACTCTTCCATAGTCTCTGTGTTTCTTTCCCCCTGAGCATCTCCTGCTATCTGCTATTGCATACTTCTTTGCCCTTCCCAATGCTGCTCTCTCTGCCTATAATGCCTTCTTTGGGTTCTACATAACTTAGAGAATTCACATACATACAAGAGTGCCCCTTCCCTCAGAGACTGTCAGCCCCTTGTGGGCAGAAGTCATTCTGACTGTCTTTCTGTCCCCTCTGGCAAGTGTCACATCTGGCACACAGCAGATATGACAAACATCAGCTTCTATGACAGGCGGCGGTGGTACACACCTTTAATCCCAGCACTTGGGAGACAGAGGAAGGCAGATCTTTGTGAGTTCCAGGCCAGTCCTGGCCAGAATGAGTTCCAGGACAACCAATGCTACACAGAGAAACCTTGTCTTGAAAAACAAAATAAAAAACCATATCTGTTTATATGAATTGTGTTCAGAGAAGAGAGACAACGTCAGGCAAGTCTCAGGGAGGAACAAAAATGAATAAGGCATAAGTTCATGGAGACTAGAAAAAGGGCTCAGTGGTTAAGAGCACTGGCTACTCTTCCGGAGGACCCAGGTTCAATTTCCCAGTACCCATAAGGTGACTGTCAACCTTCTGTAACTCCAGTCCCAGGAAAACTGATGCCCTCTTTTCGCTTCCATAGTCAATGCCTGTACATGGTACACATACATACAATCAAGAAACACACACACATTAAATAAAAATAAATAGCTCTTAAAAGATGTTTTTTTAAAAAAAAATAACCTCATGATACAGTAGCAAAAGCATCACCAGGATGCTTTGTGGGGAATCCAGGACTCTTCTATCCCTAGCTATCCATCCTCAAATTTCCTCCACATACCCCAACCCCAACTCCAGCCCAAGTCCCTTCACAATTCTGGGGAGCAAGGAAGCCAAGTGCTGCTCTGCCCTTTGCCTCAGCCCAGCCGCCAGTCCCTGCTCTCCAGCCTCAGGCTGCAGAAGACCCCCGTACCTGCAGGCGTTTCTAAACCCCTCCAGGGTGCTCAGGAGGAACTTCCCCTTTCGAATAATGGCCTTCTCTGAGTTTCTACTGCAAGCATAGCCCTGGGGTGAGGAGGAGAGAAAAGCTTATGAGGCACACACCCACTCCATGGGTCAGCCTCGGCCTGCATGCCATGGGCCTGTTTCTCCCCAGTGCAGCCTGCCCTTTGCACACATCTAACTTTCCAAGGGATCGTGGGTGCATCCTCACAAATCTAAAAATAGCAGAGGGGATAACTGTAGCCCATGCCCCTATGGACCTCAAGACTGGCTCTTGGTCTATTGTATACAGAAAGCTGTCTAAGTAGCTGCAATGTCCACGTTTTTGCTTCAGAAAACAAGGCCACATAACCTGAGGAGAGCATGGGAAATACAGCAGATCTGGGAAGTACAATCCTGAAAAATGTAACACTCACACTGAGGGTGTCTTTCCTGAGAACTTAAGTCTATGAACCATTAAAACCCAACGGTTACAACATAGCGCACGTCAGTCAGATGTCTTTAAAGACTTATTTATTTTATATCTGAGTGCTCTATCTGCAGGCCAGAAGAGGGCATCAGATCCCAGGATAGATGGTTATGAGCCGCCATGTGGGTACTGGGAATTGAATTCGGGACCTCTGGAATAACACAATGATCTTAACTGCTGATTAAGTCAGATTCTTTAGAAGACCCTAAAAAGCATCCGGTCTTAAAAAATGTTGTGAGAATGTTTACCACACCTGTGACATTGGGCCAGGAATGTGGCTTAGTGGAGAATATTTGCCTTTTACTCATGAAGCCCTGGGTTTGATTCCCAGAAGCACAAAAAACAAAAACAAATAAACAAAAACAGAAGATAAAAAAAACTTAATTAACCATACTCAGATACTAGTTAAGTCATTTAGCCAAGGTTGGCTTCAAACTCTTTAATCCTCCTGCCTCAGCCTCCTGACTATAAGGACTGTAGGGATGAGTCTTGCTTGCTAACGTTCTTTGAAAATTTGGTCTTTAGAGAAAATTGTTTAATCCCCTATGGCTTCAATTTCTTCATCCATCAAAATGGAGATGGTTACCCATAAGCCTATAAATCGGCACGGAAGATAAGGTAACATACAAATTGCTTTTCTGAAAACAAAATGGAGAACTGGAGGTACAACTCAATGGTAAAGTGCTTGCTTAGCATATACAAGGCCTAGGTTCAATCCCCAGTATTGCAAAATAAACAAACAAAAATCTAATACATTAGCAGAGTTTGGTGGTGCATGTCTTTAATCCCAGCACTCAGGGAGGCAGAGGCAGGCAGATCATTGTGAGTTTGAGGCCAGCGTGGTCTACAAAGCAAGTCCAGGACAGCCAAGGCTACACAGAGAAACCCTGTCTCAGAACGCTCCCCCGCCTCCACCCAAAAAATCTAATAAATTAAGATAGGCATGGAGATGCATGCTTACAACGCCAGGACAGAGAAAAAGACAGACAGACAGAAAGAATCCTAGAGCAGGGGCTCCAGAAAAAGCATGCTTGCAGTTCACTGACCAAGGACCACCTGTTCATGGGCGTCTGGGAAAACTCCATACATCGACTCAGCATGGCTTCAAGCAAGGCCTGAAGCGCTCCGTATTGCACTGGCAGAGAGCTTTGATGATCCTTCCTGCATCCACAGAGACAAGAAGATGCTCAGAGAGGTAAGACGGCCCCAAGCAGGTGCTTTCTGTACACGCTTACCCTCTGTACTCGCCAGTGGAATCGCCTGCGGAAGGAAGCTTAAGAGCAGAGACTATCACGTGATTCTAGGGATCACATTAGGCAAGCCAAAGAGGGTGGCAGGGGGGAAGGCCAGGCGAATCAAAAGAAAAATGGCCTTCCTTCTGACACACTCTTTTTTCCCTGAACTGTTACCAGAAGGTGTCACCCATAATCAGGGTGGGTCTTGCTGCGTATGTCAATCAAGGCAGTCAGGACCGTTCTTCAGGTGAGGCTTCCTAGTCAGGTGACTCTAATTTCTGACAAGCTGACATTAAGCCAACCATAAATGTTTAAGATATTATGAGATTCTTTGTAATTTAGTTGTGTATTTCTGAACTTTGTAGATGACGATGGCTTGTCCCAGTGTTAAAAAAAAAAACAAAACTGGACTTACCTACAAATCCAAAGCATCTTAGGAAGAATCCTTCCTGGCCTTAGCTTATTGGTGGTTGCTGGCAACTCTTGGCATTCCTTGGCATTGCTCTAGTTTCTGATCATCTTCCCAGTGTTATCTTCCCTGCCTCAGTCTCCCATCCATGTCACTACAGGACCAAATCTCCACCCCTTTTAAAGTTTTATTAATTTTTATACATACAAATGTTTTGGTTGCATTTTGTATGTGCGCTATATGTGATGCCTGGTAACCTTGGGCGCCAGAAGAAGACATCACACATCCAGGGACTTGAGTTATAGACAGCTGTGAGCTACCATGTGGGCACTGGGAATTGAACTCAGGACCTCTGAAAGAGCAGCCAGTGCTCTTAACCACTGAGTCATCTCTCCAGTCCTGGTCCTCCACCCCAACCTTTTTGAAACAGGGTCTCACTTTGTAATCTGGGCTGGCTTAGAATTTGCTATGTATCCCAGGCTAGCCCAAAACTCTTACGGAAAGCCTCTTGTCTCAGTCTCCCAAGCGCTGAGATTAACAGGCATTGCACCATCATGTCTGGATGATTGGGGTTTATTGTTGTTGTGGTTTGGTTTGGTTTGGTGTAGTTTGGTTTGGTTTGGTTTTGAGACGGTGTTTTAAGTAGTCAGGGATGACCTCAGGCTTTCCCTGTGTAGCTGAACATGGTCTTGAACTCCTGCCCCTCCTGTCTCCACTGCCCAAGTGCTAGGACTCCAGGTAAGTGCCGCCATTCCCGCTTATAATGCAGAAGGTAGTTATTGAATTTGCAACCCCTGCTATATGACTTGGACCTCTTAACTGTCTTCCCTACAGGGATCATCAAGCTCTGGGCCCACTCTCTTTGTTGTTTGTTATTTATTTATTTGTCTTGTAGCAGCTCACTTTTTTCATTTTCCCTTCTAGTTGTGTTTCCCAGAGAGCTTCTGGACAATTCCCCCCCCAGAGGGACTACTTCAGTAATCATTCCGGGGATAATGTCAATCCCTCAGAATCACACTAATGACTCTCTCAACTCCCTCCCCAATTCAGACCAAACCGCTTTTCTGGTGTGGCCTCTTCCTGTAGCCTGCTAACTCTGGGGAACCCCAATGCTTCCCGCCTTCATTTTCCTCAATTTACATTCCCTCATCCCTTGTAGCACAGCTCAAATGCCACCACCTGCTCCAAAGCTGCTTCCTGCCTCTTACAGCACAGACGTCCTGTGGGAAGCTTCTCTGCCTTTGCCCTGCCACCACTTTTCCTCTACCCATGCCTCTGGCACCAGTTGAGTTTACTCATCTCATCCACCCTGGGATTCAAGCTCCAGATTTAGAGATTCAAATCCAGGAGCCACAAAAAGAAAGACAGATAGGCTCAAGTTATTGTAATGTAAATTTTTTGTTCCAATTTTTAGAACCATGCTGAAGTCGAATCACTATAAATACTAACAACCTTTACAATGTAAAAATAAAGTTACAGCCTAACTAACCTTGAAAAATAGAAGACTGAGCTTGGAGGGGAATGTGGGGGCTGCTAAGAGAATGAAAATCAGGACATAGTGCTTTGCAAACCAAAATTAGCTGAGCCAGGTGGCACAGGCTTGTATAATCCCAGCTGTCAGAAGGCTGAGGCAGGATGCTAAGGAATTCAAGGCCATCATTTGCTACACAACAACTTTGAGGCCAGCCTGGACTACACCAGACCTTGCCTCAAAAACAAACAAACAGAAGCTGGACATTAATCCCAGCAATTTAATTCCAGCACTCAGAAGGCAGAGCCAAGAGGATCTCTTGAGTTCAAAACCAGCCTGGTCTACATTGTGAGTTCCAGGACAGGCAGGGCTATGTAAAGAAATCTGTCTCAAAAAAAAAAAACAGAGGAAGGAAGGAAGGAAGGAAGGAAGGAAGGAAGGAAGGAAGGAAGGAAGGAAGGAAGGAAGGAAGGAAGGAAATCAGGTGTATGGGGCTCATACCTAATCCTACCGCTTAGAAAGTAGAGACGGGAAAATTATTGTCTGAGGCCAACCTAAGCTACACAGTGAGTTCTATGCCAGCCTAGGCTACACTATGAGAACCTGTCTCAACAAAACAATGATAACAACAAATAATACTGACAACAGTGTTACAAAAAGCATCCCTAGGAACTCCCTGTCATCTACAGCCTGCAGGCACATTCAGTTCCGAATGCCACAGCCTCTCACCTCAGGAAAGCTGAAATGGCCCTCAGTGCTTCAGTGGCCACATCTAACACGGGACTGCTCACGGCCTCCCGCAGGGCAACGCTGGCATCCCGGCACATGGCTGAGCTTGTGAACAGCCTGATCTCTTCTGGCTGCCTATGAAATGGTAGATGAGAATCGAGTGAATGACTTATCTCTGGTCCCACCAGGAACAAATGCTCGCCTCCCCTTTACCAGACCCCCCCCCCCTACTTGTTTGCTTACCGAGTCATAATTTCAGCGAAAAGCAGCAGGCCCTGCTTCTGCACTTCTGTGTTGGTCATCTGCAGGCCTCGCTGTAGGCTCCTGACCACTGCCTCAATCCCTGCGTCAGGATAACAGGCCACAGACAAGGGCTCAGTGCTCTGTGGTTCTTCCATTAACCACCCAGGGGAGGTGACACACTCTAAACCTGCAAGCTATAGGACCCTCTCATCATGACCCGGACAGGGTGAACTGATTCTGTAAGACAGAGGTTATGGCTATCGCTCAGTAGCAGCGTGCTTGCCTAACACGGGAAAGCCCTGAGTTTGAGAGACCAAAAGATTAAAAATTAGCAGCTATTATTTAAGGCCTGAACTAGGTGGATGGAGAAGTCCAGGAATACCCTGAGGGGGAGAACCGCCTTACTGCATTCTTTCTCCACCCATTAGAGATACAGTTGCTAGGAAACTGGCCCATCCCCCTAGGGAGGGACACCAGGTCATTAATGGTTTGGGGACCTTCCTATAGCCAATCGATTCAAAATGTAGCATTTTGACCAATAGATGCTTGCCAGGCAGGAATCACCCCTGCCTTGGGCATGCTGGGAGGGACCAGAATCTTTAAATCACCCTACTAACCCGAGCACGGGGCGCTCGGCTCTCACCACTTTGGCAGTGGGGGGTGTGGGCCCAAGCTACAGCTTGTAATTTACAATAAAAAGAACCTCATGTATTTCCAGCAGAGTCTGTTTATTCCTGGTCTTTTGGGGTTCTTAAACTGGGCAGAACAAGTTCAGTCACCACCAGCAGAAGGGGGTGAGGACCCGATGTGAGATTTTTCAAGGGCAGGTCCTCATGTCTTTCTGTTTCCCCTACATCCAGCACAAACTCAAGCCCATGAGACTTAGTGACCACCTACCGAGCAAGCCACATCTTCCCCACTTTGCCCACCCCCTTCCTCCTCAAAGAATTAGGTCCAGCCTGTGCTTCTCCATCCAGGAAGACCCCACCCCCACCCCCACCCCTGCTCCTTTCACTTCTGTTTAGGAGCTCTTGAGCCCCTCCCTTGATGAGGAGTCAACAGAATCAACATTTACATGGAATGAGTCTGGCTCTGGCTCCCAATGTGGGTGCCAGCCCCTCCACCACCTCTGCGGCTGCTCCCCAACCGGAAACTGCCGTCCGTCCGTGAACTACCTACCATACACTGTGTGACACTTGGAGAAGAACAGCGGCTCCTCTGCCAGCAGAATCAGGCAGTTGTAGCAGGACCACACAAGCATTTCACTGGAAGATGAAAGATGCTCAAAGAGGAACTCTAGGAGAAGAGAGGAGAAGACAGTGAAGGGCAGCCGGAGCTCCTGGTCCTTAAACTGACATGAGCACTTAGAAGTCATCTCAGCTTTCTCCTTCCCTCTGGCCGAACACGCTTCTCCATCAGAAAGTGACAGTGAAGGCCATTTCTACCTGGCAGAGCATGGAACTTCGGGTTTTCAAACTCTCAGGATAGGCAGATGGATGTCAGCACAATTCAGAAATTAAGGACTCTGAGAATCAGTCTTCGCCACACGTCACCTCTCAGCCAATGACTAGCCTTGTTGATTTGGAGCATCATTTCCCTTCTCTGAACTGTGATTCTCCTCAATAATCATTTACAACCCTTCAAAACTGCACATTCTACATTCTCCCACCTCGAGAGTGTGGCTATGGAAACGGTGCGTACATTCACATGGGTCTGGTGAGTTCCATGTACTTGTCTCTATGCACATAAGTTTGTGTCTTCCCTAGGCATAATCATTTTTCTAACCTATAAGATGCTGTGCTGGAGATACAGCCTGCTGACAGAGCACCATACCTGCTTGGCATGTGCAAGGCTCTGGGTCTGAAACCCTGACCCACAAAAAGTAAAATAACAAAATGGGAGCCAAAATGTGTGACTTCTGCAGTAATCACAGGACTCGTTTCCCGGGGCTCCTCAAAGCTCCTACACAAACATTTGCCCTTCTTGGCTCATGTCCTTCTGCCACTCCCTGAAGGTCAAATTAATGACAAATACCAGCAACAAACTGATCAGGTCCATCAGATGTTAGCACGTGATTTTACAAGCAACTGATTTTTCCCTCCAGTGTGAGTTATCAAAGGTAACTGACCAATTTGCTGCTGCCCCCGCTGCAGTGGTGGCTGCCTCAAGGCTCTAGTCAAAATTCTGGAGTTCCCCAAGAAGAAAACGAGAGGGTTCCCGTACCTGGGATGTCAGCGTGAATGAAGGCAATGGCATGCTTCAGAGGGGAGTGGACCAGTACGGCCGTTATACAGTAGGAGCTGGCCACCTGCAGCACCTCGTCTCTGGAGACCAGAAACTGGAGAAACAGCAGAGTGTATCCCAGTCACATTACTGAGAAGACCAAAGGACCCAGCCTACGTGTCTCAGGGCAGAAGCCCAAATCAGCACAGATTCCATACTTCTTAGTGCAGGCAAAAGGGGAACTATAAATTATGGAAAGGAGTCTCTGAATAGCACAGGTGGAAAATAGAATGAAGAACACAATGTGAAATTCACCACTGACACTAGAACAGGGATTCAGTACTGAAGCTCTTAATCTGGCTTGGACTTTTGCTACAGTCACATGACACAATAAGAGACAATTCTACCACCATGATCTTCCTTTTCTGGGTCTGCCAAAAAGAGTTAATGCAAAAAAACTTTGCAGAAAAACCTGTCTGCAAAGCTCAACTGTGGCTAGGTTTAGGTAGAACTGGATTTTAGGGCAGGTCCCTCTTCCTGCCAGAAACAATGAGCATAGCTATGTCAACAAACAATGTATTTGCTGAGTGCCCCTTCCTTCCAGGATAGAAACTTAATGTGTGGGAGGCACAGGGTACCTTCATGAGCACCCTGCTCCAGGCACAACTCTATAGGACATAAAAACCCTCCTCAGTGGGCAACGTTTCCCACTGGTTTTCACAGCGGACTCTCAGAGGAGGTGTAACACCCTGTGTGCCTCACTGCAAGAGGACTCAAGAAACCCATGTCTGGTTTCCCTTGGCCCTCACCTGGGCCCTTTCCCTACAAAACTTTGTTTTGTAGCCTTCCAGTGTGAGAAGTCATTGCCCTGTAACTAAGCACCCAGTCGGATGGGTTCTCTCAGCAGATCATCAAACTCCCGGTCACACAGATGAGAAGTGTTGCAGGATTTTTGATCCCACTGTGAACCCTGAGACTGTGAACTGTAAAAACCTGTTTCCAACTGTGGTATGGCTCCATCTTTGATCCTAAAGCTTTCCGTTTTCTGTAAACAAATACTTGTGGTGTGGTTCAGCCCTAGCACACACCTTTAATCCAAGAGCTTTCTGTAAACAGGATTAAATAAAGTTAACCCTAGGTCAAGAGGTGAAGCAAGCAACCAGATTGACAAGAAGTGAGCATGGGAGAAAAAAAACATAGAGAATGACAGGAAGTCTGGAGGATGGATAGAGAGACACACAGGAAGTAGGAAGGAGGGATACCGAGTTTGAAGTAGAAAGGAGGGGCATTGAGTTGCCAGGTATTTGCGACAGTGTGGAAAAAAAGAACTTTTTTCCTTCTGAGACATGAGCTGAGTAGGAAGGTCAGCTGGGTGCTTTCTCTGTCTCTCTGAGCTAGCAGATTTTTCACCCCAGCATCTGGCTCCTGAGTCTATATTGGTAAAAATCAAATGATTGGGATTTTCATAACATGAAGAGGCAAAGCCAAGGCAGGAATGCAGGCCAGACAATTCTAAATTTAGAGCTCCTCCCACAACAAAATTGTCTCTCCCATCAATTTTTTTTCTTTTTTGAGGGACGCTGCTTTGGTTTTGCTTTATTCTTTAATTTTTTTTTCTTACTGCTATTGTTGTTTTGAGACAGGGCCTCACGTGGCCCACATAATTTTGTACTCCTGATGGCACACACTCTACAAATGAGCTACAAACCCTGGTCCGCCACTACCTTTTTGAGCATCAAAGGCAGTGAGATCTCTCTTGATGGCCGCTCAACGTTCTCCACAGCCTCCACCAGAACAGACTTGCCCATGATCACGGACACAAAGAGATCATACCTCAGCAGCTGCCTCAGCAAACCTAGGAGGCAGAGGTGGTTGAGTGAGGTCAGAAGGGCATCAGAGTCCTCCCAAGACACCCCCTGAGACTTCTTCAGGTCTCTGTAGATATGAAGTATGGTTAGAATCCTTAGGCTTCAGTTTGCTTTCACCAACCTACCTTCTTCCCACAAGGACCTGAGGGGAACCTACTGACTAGAAGGCCTACAAGTCCAGGAATTTATTAGTGTCCCCTGGTCTAGTTTCCTATTGCTGTGGTAAAACACTGAACAGAAGCCTCTTGGGGAAGAAGGGTTTGTTTGCCTTATACATCTATGTCAGAGTCCATCGTTGAAGAAGAAACTCAAGCAGAACTAGAGCTAGCAGCCACCTAGGATTGCTGCCTCCTGGCTAGCTTTTCAGGGCTTGTTCAGCTTGCTTGTTTTCTCATACAGCCCAGGCCCACCTACTAAGGGGTGACACCGTCCACAGGGGCCATTTGTAACTCCAATTCAAGGGGAATCCAATGGGCTGGAGGGATGGCTCAGAGATTAAGAGCACTGGATACTCTTCTGAAGGTCCTGAGTTCAATTCCCAGCAACCACATAATGGCTCACAGCCATCTGTAATGGGATCTGACTCCCTCTTCTGACCTCTGTAGGGCACTTCATGCGCGTGGTACATGGAAAACACCCATACACATTAAATACATCTAAAAAAGAAAAAACAAAAAAAACCAAAAAAAACCTTAATGCCTATTTGAAAAGAAAGGGAAGGAAAGTCTCTAGAGAAGAGATAGGATTTAATGCACCATCAGCTGAGATTTCCCTCTTCTCTGTCTAGGCCAGCTCTGGGGCTCACCAGGATCTCAACCTAAGGCACCTCTTAATACTAACATTCTCTAACTCCACCCTATCACAAGGTACCCAACATTCGGGCTGCCTCATACGTGATGCTTTGGCCCCCTTTACTGCTTTCACCCTCCCCTGCCTCCAGTTCCACATGTGCTTCAGGCCTCAGTGTAAGCATCCGTTCCTTTAGAAGTCCCTCTTGCCCTCTGCTGCCCTCATCCCCTTTGCATCTCTATATCAGATACCACACTGCACTCTAGCTGTTCAGGTCTGACTTCCACGTAGCCCGTGAGTTCCTACAAGACAGGAGTTGGGCCTGATCATCTTTGCAACCCAGAAGTCCAGGACACAGCCTAGCTCAAATACTCCCTGAGTGGCTGGACTGTTCCTAACAGAGTTCTTGGCACATGCCAGTAGTTCTCAACCTGTGGGTCGCGACCCCTTTGGGGGTTGACCGGCCCTTCCACAGGGGTCGGTATATCAGATATCCTGCTTATCAGATTATTTACATTATGATTCACAACAGTACTAAAGTCACGGTTATAAAGTAGCAATGAAATAAGTTTATGGTTGAGGGGGTCACCACAGCATGAGGAACTATGTTAAAGGGTCGCAGCGTTAGGAAGGTTGAGACCCACTGGCCTGGACTGTGAGAAGAAGCTGTCGTCACAATAGATTGTGTGTCTCCCTACAGCTCCCGCTCTGAAACCAGCCCACGCTCAGTCATCTGTCACAGTGTCAATCCACACTGTCTGGAAAATGAGAACAGGAGCTGGGGTGCAGCACAGTCACGGTACCGCGGACAAACATAATAAAATAGACAGCCCAGTGCTCAGCAGCATCCCCCAGGTCACAGGAGCAGGACGATAGGCCTGAAGGCCATCCTGAGGCTCCTGAAATCCTCAAACAGCCAGGCATGGTGTCACAGGTCTGGAAGACAGGGCTGAAGGCGAACCTAGGTTACGAGCTGAGACACTATCTCAGACTCAGGAGAAGGAGGAAGAGGGAAAGACCTATGTAACAAGCAGAGAAACCTGGACTTTACCCTGCAGGCTAGAAGAGCTCCTAAATTTCTCTGACTAGGAAAGAGACAGTATAGGAGGTGAAAATTGTACAGTATAACAATTAACTTTGGAGCAAAGTCAGGCAGCAAAGACCCAAAGCAAGAAAACTTCTGTTCTTACCCAAACAGTTTATCTGTAGGTCCTTTGTCTGGGCATTGTCCAGGGTGGAAAGGAAGAGGGGACACAGCTTCTCCCGGAAATGGCCTGAAAGCATCTCTGCCACGGTGGGTGAGGAGTAGAGCTTCCCATAGAGGTAACAGATGGAAGCTTGTACCCCCTCATTGGGGTAGACCAAGCCTCGCAGCAGATGCTCCATCAAGTTGCCTGTCCAGAGAGCAACCAAGAAGCAAGAAGTCTTTTAGGTTCTACTTTATTTATTTGTTTGCTTGCTTTTGTTTTTTTTAAAGACAGGGTTTCTCTGTGCAGCCCTGGCTATCATGGAATTCAATCTGTAGACCAGGCTGGCCTCAGACTCACAGAGATCTGCCTGCCTCTGCCTCTGCCTCTGCCTCTGCCTCTGCCTCTGCCTCTGCCTCTGCCTCTGCCTCTGCCTCTGCCTCCTGAGTTGAGTTTTATTTTTAATGTTGTGTCTCTGGGTGGGTTTATGCACGTGAATTCGGGTGGCAGGTGCCCCAGGAGAGCAAAAGAGGGTGTCAGGTCCCAAGCTACAGGTGGTTGTGAGAATCAAGACTGGAATTTCAGTCCTCTTAACCATTTAGCCATCTCTCCAGTCACAAACAACAAAATCTTACATTAGTTACCATATTAAACTCCAAACTAGGTGCTGGAGAAATAGTTCAGCAGTAAAGAGTACATACTGCTCTTACAGAGGAGCTGGGCTCAGGTCCCAGCACCCATATCAAGGTGCTCAGAGCCACTTCATAGCTTAGCTCCAGGGGATGTGATGCTCTCTTCAGGCCTTCACAAGCACCTGCATATTCAAGCAGGCGTGCACATTAATAAAGAAATAGTTAGATAGATAATTTTTTTTAGAAAAATCAAAATGCAAACTATCAAGCCAGAAGCCATGGCGTATGGCTGTAATCCCAGCACTTGGGAGGCAGAGGCAGGCGGATCTCTGTGGGTTCGAGGCCAGCCTGGTCTACAGAGTGAGTGCAGGACAGCTAATGCTACGAAGAGAAACCCTGTCTCATAAAACAAACAAACACAAACAAAAAAATAAAAAAACAATCCAAACTATCATCTCAATGAGGTACTAGTGATTTCCCAATTCCCCTACAATAAATGTTTCCTAGAGACCAAAAGAGAAAGTCAAAACTTAAAGGATAGGCAGGCGGCAGTGGCACAGCACTTTCAAAACAGAGGCAGCAGGTCTCTGAGTTCAAGGCCAGCCTGCTCTACAGAGCTCCAGGACAGCCGGGGCTACACAGAGAAACCCTGTCTCAAAATCAAACAAACAAACAAATTTATTTAAAGAATAAATCCTCTGGGAGATATGCATTTGTATTTTAATACTTTTTTTAAACTTTTTAAAATTTATTTAATGTACATTGATGTTTTGCCTGCGTGTGTGTGTGTGTGTGTGTCAGATCCCCTAGAACTAGAGTTACAGACAGTTGTGAGCTGCCATGTGGGTGCTGGGATTTGAACTCGGGTTCTTTAGAAGAACAGCCAGTGCTCTTAACCGCCGAGCCATCTCTCCGGCCCATTAATGATTCCTGTCAGCACTTCAGGGTCTGTGAGGTTGCTCAGTGGGACAACCTGGCCACCTGAGTTTAAGCTCCGGATCCCACAAGGTGGCAGGAGAAAATGACTCCCAACTTCCAAGTTGTTCTCTGAACTCCACAAACTCTCAGTGGTATGTACACACCCGCACACAAGTGTGCGCGCACACAAACACTCTAAATCACATGAATAAAATGTAAAAGCCCTTCTGTGTCCCAGAACAAATTCATCTTTCCACCAAAAGAAAGGTCACAGGTCACGGCGACCTTTATTGAAAAGGTAAGTGTACTGCCAAATACTGCAATGTGCGTCTCTAATTCCAGTCCTCAGTATAGTGAGAAAAAAACTGTGAGTTGGAGGCCAGGCCAGACTGTGCTGTGAGACCCTGTCACCAAAAAAAAAAAAAAAAAAAAAAAAAAAAAAAAAAAAAAAGCCCAAGTCAAGAAACGGATGAGGAAAGTAATGCCTCCCCAGGTGTGCACACACAGGGAACAGGGCACCCAAGTGGCAATGTGAGCAAAGCAAGTAAGGGTAAGGAGCCACCCTCTCCACAGGAAACTCACCGTGCTCCATTACAAGCTCATCCGCCAAACCAGGAATGGCATCTACCAGCTTGCCAAGAAGAGTCATGGTGGCCAGGCTGCCACCCATGGCCGGCATGCTACACAGCTGCAGAAGGGAACGCATGCCAAGTCAGGACCGCAGCCGACCTCTGGCCAATGCCAACCTTGCCCTACACAGGCGAGTGCCTGTTACTCTCCCACAATTAGCTTTGGCCAAGTCCATCTCCTCCGTTCAGCTGGCAACTCCTGGAGGAGAGGGACCGGTCAGATTCCTCTCCGAGGCCTCAGTCCCTAGCTTAGTCCATGATTACCACACTGTATCAACAGTAGCATATCTGGGCTGGGGCTGTAGCTTGGTGGTTGAGCAACTGGCTAGCATGCTTAAGATCCTGTGCTCAATCTATACACACCCACGCACCCACGCACCCATGCATACGCAGGCACACACAAGCTATATTTTGGCTCATTTAGAACCAGATGCTGAAGAATAAAAGTTGGAAACCTCCTGCGGATAAAACTGACTCTAATTGTATACACATACATATTTTTGCTACGATTAATTGAACAGACAATTAACCTTTTTTGTGGATGTAGTACAAGGGACTGAACACAGGGCCTCACTCTGCCACTGACCTACATCCCCCCGCATAATGAATGAACATCTGTCACATGGTTTGAGTAAATGCTTTAATTTTGCTCGTCTTATGATAGATGTGAATCTTTTCATTGTTTTGGTTTTTTTGTTTGTTTCTTTGTTTGTTTGAGCTCTCATGTTGCCCAGGTTAGCCTAAACTCTTTACATAGCTGAGGCTGGGGATTACACGTAGCACCACTGAGCTCACTCTCCGTGTGATGAACACTGCCTTTTATGATCTATGGGAAGGTAACCTTCTCTACTGCATAGACTCTTCCGGTAGAAAATAACAGCACCAGCCTTCTGATGAGACGGGACGAGGCACTGCACTCAGGAGGCAGAGTGTGCGATCTCTGAGTTCAAGGCCAGCCTGGTCTACTAACAAGATGCCATCTCAAAGAAGGGGAGGGGGGCTAGAGAGATGGCTCAGAGCACTGGCTGCTCTTTCCAAAGGACCCATGTTTGATTCCCAGCACCCACATGGCAGCTCACAACCACCTGTAGCTCCAGTTCCAGGGGCTGCAACACTGTCCTCTAGCCTCTGGGGGTACCAGACATGCACACGGTACACAGACATACATGCGGACAAAACATCCATACACATAAAATAAAGTCTTAATTTTGATTTAAAAAGGCATTTCGTTTAAGCTGGGTATGGTAGCATATAATGCCAACACTTGAAAGGCTGAGGCAGGAGGATCGAAAGCTCAGTGCCTGGCCTATATATGAAGACTATCTCAAAAAGAGAAAAAGAAAGAAAAGGCATTGCATGCAAATCACCTCACAGTGCCTAAGGCAGAGCAAGTGCTCAGTAAATGTTAATGGCATCATCATGATGAACATTTACATATAATTACAAATTTAAACTATTAATGACAGAGCATAATTACATTATATTATAATTTAAATACAACACATAATTAAATATTGCTCTTGATGAGACTAAGGTGAACATTTGTCTTCCTTCTGAAAAATAAATAAAAAGTGATCCTAAGCTGGGTGTGGTAATCTCCATGAGTTCAAGGCCAACCTAGTCTACACATCAAGTTCCAGGCCAGCCACAGCTACACGGTGAAATCCTGTCTCAAAAAAAAAAGGGGGGTGGGGAGATCTGATATTATTCCCCAGTCTTAGGCATAATAGAAAAGATGCTGTTTAACTGGCCATTAGCATAGTACAGGAAGCATGTTATACAAAGTGTAAAAGATTCATTTCAGATACTCATACCAAGTCATGCACACAACTCAAAACCAAGTGAAAATACCGAACTCGAAACACCAGATCTATTTCTTTGATGAACCCGTCAAAGAAATATGTACTGTACCTAGGAAGTCACCAAGAATGTCCTGTGCGATGACCGTACAGGGGAGATGAGGCTTTGAGCACAGAAGTAGAACTTGGGTCCCTGAGAGCAGAAGGAAGCTGCACGGTGTGCGAGAGCAGGGTCAGGGGCCTCAGACCCACGCTCTGGCTCTGCCAGGCCTGCAGGACCTTAGGCAAATCTCCAGAGTTTAATTTTCCCATCTACTAAAAGGACTGCAGTGATCATTTTGGAATTTTGGTTCTTTAAAAAATACAGAAGTGCTGGTCGTGGTGGCGCAGTCCTTTAATCCCAGCACTTGGGGAGGCAGAGGCAGGCGGATCTCTGTGAGTTCGAGGCCAGCCTGGTCTACAAAGTAAGTCCAGGACAGCCAAGGCTACACAGAGAAACCCTGTCTCAAACAAACAAACAAACAAACAAACAAGCAAACAAACAAACAAACAAACAAAAAAGCCCACAGAAGCATTCTAAGAATATGTCTTTGTTCTAATCCCAGGTGTGGGGATATGGGGCCGATTCACCGACTGTGAACTGCCTCGTGCTCTAGCAAGGCGTTGAAATTGCCAGCTGCAGACAGTTTCTGCTATTGTGTGGTATTTGGAATTCTGGGGACTTTTCAGAGGCTACATAAACGATAGAGCCCCGAAAGGCAGGTGGGTTGTTGGTTGGCTGTTGGTTTCTGTTGGTCTCGGTTTATTAAGTAGTCGTGCACAAAGAAGAAACCAGAAAGAGAGATTAGATATCCTGACACAGAAGATCAAACTTGACTCAAGGAACTACTCCTAATGAGCAGGAAGTAGTCTAAGAATAAACATGGCTCCCTTCCCAAACCCTGAGTTAATTCAGGGATCTCTTTCCTTTCTTCTCTGTCCTTTTTTCTCTCATATCTAGTGTTAGGGAGTTCAAAGGGTAGAAGGAAAGGGGTGGAGGGTGGGAGAAAGGGGAATTCACAGAGTAGCAAATGCCAGCTACCGACTTAGCTCAGTAGCTAAGGACTGACTTAGCTCAGGCAGAATGGGAGGATTTTTTTTGTGGGGGGATGGGACTCAAGAACCTGCAGCTCTACACTCACCTCTCTGTGGCATTCATTCAGTAGGAAATGGATGGTCTGTTCTAGCTTCAGCTGAGTAATGAGCTGGATAAGGACTGAAGAGACAGAACAGCATTAGAAACCGGAAGACGAGCACACCCAAAGTCAGCTCTCACAGCCCATCTACGCAGACCGCCAGCCTCACAATAATTTGCTTGTTGCAAATGGAATCAGCTTTTCTCTCTCCCTCATTACAACAACTGTGCCCATCTATATTGTTCTGTATTAGCAGTTCCCAACTCTGGATGCTCACTAGAATGACTGAGGCTTTAAAAAGCTTTAAGAACATACTAATATGGAACTGAGGTCATAGCTATGGTGGAGTGCCTGCTTATCATATATAATGCCTGTTTATCATATATAATGGGGATTCGACGCCCCAACACCCCCCCAAAAAAGACTATTAACATCCAAGTCTCACTCCAGACCAATTAGATAAGAGTCTCTAAACCCAAATACCTTTTTTTTTAAAATTTATTTATTGTCTGATGTAGTCCAAGCTGGCCTTGAACTTTATTATGTAGCCAAGTTTGATCTTGAACCATTGATCTTCCTGCCTTTACCTCCCCAAAGTCTGAGATTATAGGGAGGCACCACCACCCCTGATCCCAAGTACTTTACCTGAATAAATTTTAAATATGAACAAATGTAAGCATATTATTTAAAAAATATATATTTTATTTAAATTTCCTTAATCATGTATGTCTACTTACCAATTTATATATTTTGCATTTTAAAACATTGTGTGTGTGTGTGTGTAGGTCAACCTTTGGGAATCAGTTTTCTTCCTCCATATTATGAGTCCTAGGAATTGAACTCAGGGTATCAGGCTTTGACAGCCCCTGTCCTGTACTCTCTGGGCCATCTCACTAGACCCCCCCCAAAAAACATTTTTCTTAATATAAGACATGAGTGTATTGCTGAAGTTCTCTTAGTAAGTCTAGTGTGAAGTCAGAGTTGGAAATGACTTTGTATTACCTACTTTCTTTTCCTTCGTCGGAGTTTGCTCCTTTATATTTAAGAAAAGACAATTTTAAGTTGAGTTCCCATGCCAATTATTTAACATAATCTCTCAGTCCCAAATCTATTTTGCTGTATAGTTACTGAAATGTCTCTGCTAGCACTTTGGAGAAGTATAGACTGGTTAGAAAAGCACTGTCAGAATAAAGGCAGTCTAAGACACGCCCTGAAGCCAGGAGGAGCAGGAGGCAAAAAGGAACCACGGAAAAGCATCAGGCCCTCCTTGCACCTTTCCGTTTCTCTCCAGGGCCTTGAAAGACATTCCTAGGGCTTTGTGAAGGGTTCTGTACAATGCACTGGCACCAGCTAGAGACACAGACTTTTCTTCCTGAAGGCTGAACATACTACTGTTACGATTGAAAGCCTGACCCACCATTAGCAGAGACCAACACTAGGTTCCTAGTATTGCACTGTTGCCTGAAAGGGGAGGATTATGTGCTGTGCCCTTCCGTAACGGGCCGCTTTCCGCCAACAACACGTCTGTAAGTTTCAGAATCCCTGCTCACGGCTACAGTGTTCCACACACTACCCTGACCACGGAATTCATTTCCCAGCAGCAGAGGTCTGGGAAGGGCTCAAGCCCACCAAGTTCACTGATCTTGTCCTGTAGTCCACCACCTGGACCCAACTAACAATGGGGAAGGGCCTGGATAGGCTGAGACATTTAGCAGGCACCACTTTGAAACGGTGGGCTCCTGTCCTACATGGAACAAGAAAGTACTGTCTTCACCACAGAATACATTGGTCAGGAACCAAAAAGCACAGCATGAATCGCTCCCCTTACTGCTACACCTCACAGCACGCTCGTAAGGGGTTCTGTATCCGGTATTCTCTGGTTGGGGATTCCATAATAAAAATGCCACAGATCGGGGAAGTCAAAAAACAAAATTTATTTCCTTACAGTTTTGGAGGCTGGAACCCCACTATTTGGCCTTCCCCTTGGCTTGACGATGCATGCCTGCCTCGTCCCCTCACGGGGCCTCTTCTTTGTCCATTTGCACACTAAGTGCCTCTCTGTGTGTTCAGATTTCCTCCTTATTAAAGAACCAGTCAGCCTGGGTCAGGGCCCACCCACTGACCTCCTTTTAGCTTGTCTCTCTGAAGGTCTGGTCTCCACATAGACACAGGGTGCGGGGAATCAGGGCTTCAGCATATGAATTTGGGGGCTGGGGAATGGCATGATTCTGCACATCATGTGTGGTCTTTTAGCTCCAAACCCACCCTTCTGGGCTTCATTTGGGGATACTGAGGCTGAGTTGAGCTCTGCCAATAATGGACAGTGGAGTCAGCAAGGCTGCAGAAGGAAGGAACTTTCTCATTTCCCTTTGCTTCCTCTATTTTTTATTTGTTCATCCTCTGCTTCCTGTTCTGAGGAATATTTCCCCAACACTTCCATGTCTTAAAAGAAGCAGTGCCTTTCTGCTACAGGAGTGGAATTCAGCTCGCAGTTCTTCCAGAATCTGCTGGTTTGCACCCTTCTTCCCTGAAGACAGCTACCAATAGGCACACTGGCAACACCCTTCCACAGGCCAGGGGCCCAGACAAACTCCCAGGCTCGGCAGTGTCTAAGTAGTTACTGTTTCATACACAGGATTCACCCTCCAGACTTCTAAGTTTTGACATCTCTGGCCTCTTCCCTAAAATATTTTGTGTCTTCAGTTACCTACTTAAAAACTCTTTAAAGTTTTGGTTTTGTTGTTGTTGTTTTATTTGTTTGTTTTGGTTTTCTGTTCAAACAACTGAAATAATTTCTGGCCTATCTGGAACAATTCTCACTCTCCACAAGAATCTTTATACCCCAGTACCCTTGCCATCTGGGATGGCTATTCTTGGTTGTCAACCTGACTACATCTGGAATTAACTAAAACCCAAATGGCTGGGCACACCTGTGAGGGATTTTTTTTTTTCCTTAGTTAAATCATCTGAGGTGGGAAGACCCACTTATAATCCAGATTTTTAACCCAGATCTTTTGAGGTGGGAAGAGCCTTTACTCTGGGTCATATCTTCTGCTGGCAACCTAAAGGACGTGGAATGAGGAAGCTCTCTTTGCCTGCTTGCTCTCTCTCTCTGGCATGTCCATACCTTCACTGGCATTAGACGCTCAAGTCTTCAGGATTCTGGTGTATACTGAAGACCTGCTGAAATATCCAGCCTTGTAGACTGAAGAGCTACCAGGTTCTTGGACCTTCCATTGGCAGAAAGCCACTGTTGGACTGAGTGGACCACAACCTGTAGTCTCTCGATAGATAGATAGATAGATAGATAGATAGATAGATAGATAGATAGATATGTATGCGTATATATATAGAAATATATATATATATACACACACACACACATATAGAGAGAGACAGATAGACAGATTTATTCTGTATATTCTGCTCCTTTAGAGAACCCTAACTAATATAGATTTTGGTACCAGAAGTGGTTCTACAGCAAGAAAAGTAGATGGACCATTTTCTAAAGTATCTTAAATGGGGTCTCCAATTAGCCGACACCTACAGTTACTGAAACCTCTCCAGTTATTGAAGCCTCTCATGGAAGCTTGGAGAATAGTGAAAGCCCATGGTGTGAGCTATTTTACAAAGTTAGGAAGACAAATACATTATCCTGAAAGGCAACGGATTTGGTGGCTCTGTATATAAAACATATTTGACAATTTACAGATAAATAAGGAAAGTGATGATGCTGGTTGGTTGCTCCTGCGTCTCTGAATGAATTGACAAAGGAAAAGAATGAGCACCACGATGGAATTAAACAACGTCTAGCATCTCCGAAAACGGTGAAGAACAACAATAAATAAAACTGACCAACTCCAGACACACATCAACAGTCTAAAGGTTTCTCTCCAGCAGCCACAGAGCTCAAGTCATGAAAATCCTTAGCCCTCTTTATAAGGTTGGTTACTGACAGTGAAAATTCAAGTCTCAGCCTCATGAGAGCTGCCCTGTGACTGGTTGGCTGAAGAAGAGAAGACTCCAGCCTGGTTTACAGACGGTTATGAATGTTGTGCAGGCACCACAGAGAGAGAACTGTACCCACAGCTACAGCACCATAACCCCTTCCTGGAACAACCCTCAAAGACACCGGCACGGGGAAACCTTCAGGCAGTTCAGTTTGCTGGGAAGGAGAAATGGCCAACATGCAGCTGTTCACTGATTCCTGGGCTAGAGTCAGTGGGTTGGCTGAATGGTCAGGGACTTGCAACGAGCACGATCGGAAACTCGTGAGAAAGACATCTGAGGAAGAAGTGTGTGGACAGATCTCTCCAAATGGGTGAAGTATGTAAAGATATTTGTGTCCCAAGTAAACGCTCATCAAAAGATGACTTCAGCTAAGAAGTTCAGCAATCAGGCAGATAGGATGACCCATCCTACTGGCAGCCAGCCTCTCTCCCCAGCCTCTCGTTGCCCAGTGGGCCCATGAACCAAGTGGCCGTGGTGGCAGGGATTGGGGTTACACATGGGCTCCACGACAAGGACTGCCACTCACCAAGGCTGACTTAGTTACAGCTGCTGCTGAGTGCCAGACCTGCCAACAGCAGAGACCAGTACTGAGCCCTGGGGTGACCAGCCAGTGACCTGGTAGCAGGTTGACTCCACTGGACCAACTCCTCCACGGAATGGACAATGTTTTGTCCTTGCTGGAATAGATACTTATTTTGGTTATGGATTTGCCTTTCCTGCACACAATGCTTCTGCTAAAACCACCGCCTGTGGACTTGCAGAATGCCTCATCCACCGTCATGTCATTCAACACCGTATTGCTTCTGACCAAGGAACTCACTTTACAGCCAGAGAAGTGGGACAGCGGACCCACGATCACGTAACCTGCCTTCCTTCCTTTCTTTCAAAGTTCTATGTGTCCTCAAACTCACAGACATCCTCCTGCCTCTGCCACCAGGATGCTGGGATTAATAGTGTGCCCCACCCTGCCGGCACATCATCCATACCTCTGTAACAGCACCCATCAACCCACCTATTTAGCAGCCAATCTCCTCTGCAGACTGCAAGCTCTTAAACGGGGTGTGTCTTAGCCATCTACATAGCTCTAATGAGTAAGCAGTACTTAGCAAAGAGGTAGTGCCCAAGAAGAAGCAGAATTAGACACGAACTAATTGTGTTCCCTCCTGTTTTGATTTCACTAGAGCCTCAGTAACCAGAGCTGCAACTCAGGCTGAAAGCCCCCATTTTGAATGGTAAGGGCCACACAGCTCCAGCAGGAACATCTTACCTTCAATACAGAGATCTGCCACGCTCCCATCATCCACCTTGCTTAACAGTCCTTGGAGCAGGAGGCAAAAAAGGGTGATTAGCGGGGCTGTGAGACAAAGGCAAGCATCGCTCCAAAGCCAGCAGTTTAAGCAACGCACTTGCTAAATTCTCTCCTCAGCAACACCCAGACTTCTCAATGGCCCGTCTGAAAAGATGGCAGTCCACATGCACAGCGCCCAGACTGTAGGCTCTGGACTATGACACATCTAAGGGTAAAAAGATAAACCCCGGCTGCCTCTGTTTTCTCCCGGGTCATCCTAACTCCCATTCATCTAGGTCAGCAAAACCTGCAAAGCCTCAACACAGGAGCACTCGGTGCACATTACCAGTCCTCCCCACAAGGATGTGTTCCACTGGACAGTGTGATCAAAAGGAGGAGCCACCTCGCCTTACAGGTGAGGTGACTAAGAGGAGCAAGAAGGAGACCACTTGATCACTATTACAAGCAAGGGCAGCCGACTCCACTCCAGGCCTCTGACCCTGAGCCGACTCTCAACCGTAGAGGAGAAGCCGCCCACGTCCCGCTTTTACTAGCCTCTTGGGTCTAATAAGGACAGTTAACATAAAACAATCCATGTAACCTAGAAAGGGGGGCCACACTGCTATGATTATAACAGAACAACCTGCTGGCAAACAGCCACAGTAATACAAGACGCCTAAGGCATCTTTCCAAGTCCCCCTCAGGTTAAAACACATGCCACACATGCACAGCTCCGGCTTTCCATGTGACTCTCACCGAAAAGCACGCGTATGAAACGGTTGCAGACTCTCTGGTCCTGAGCTATCAGCTGTGTGACCAAGGAGGTGTGCCTCACCAGGGCATTTTGGAAGCAGGACACCACATGCTTCTTGCGCACCAGCTTTGAGTGAATGGAGAGAAATAGTCACTACTGGAGGCAGGGTCACTCTGAACCCAAACAACTGCAATTCCCAAACGTAACCACGAAAGGGTTGCTTCAACTGGGGAGAGCCATATTCCCTGTAGGGATGATGGATAAGTGCACCACTTCCACTAGGAAATTCACGTGTTTATTCGGGAATGTAAACCGGTGTTTCTATCTTATGTTTACATCGCACCTTATTTACGATTCGTTCTTCTCCATTTGGAGGAGGGACGTTCTTTTTTTTTTTTTCTTTGCCTCATGTAGCCCCCTGGCCTCAATCCCACTAGTGTAGCTGAAGTTGGCTTTGAATTAATTCTCCTGCCTCTATCTCCCAAGTGTGTGTTACCAAGGCATTTCAGCCTAACAAGCTGGGGAAACAACCAAAAACAAATATTGTCTCCATTTTGTGGATGAGTTAAAGCAGAGAGGCTTGGAGGCTTTCCCAAGGACTCAAATTCAAATTCTCTAATCAGGCATTGACTAAGGTCGGTGCTCTTTCCACTTCAGCCACCCGGGGAAATGATCCTAGGAACCCTTCATGGGCCTCAGCAGTAGGCAGAGGAAACAAATCTCTCCACTCATTGTAAGCATAAACCCTCACGCTGCTCAATTTTCTGTACAGTTCCTGCAAACCACTCAAGACAAAAGTGAGAAATACATACATACATACATACATACAAAAATACATACAAAAATACATACATACATACGTAAGTAAGTAAGTAAAGAGGGGAACACCAGGCATGGAAATGTGAGCCTTTAATCCCAGCATTTGGGAAGCAGAGGCAAGCGGATCTCTGTGAGGTAAAAGCTACGCTGGGATATCCAGGGAGAGCCTGTCCCCAAGCAAGCAACGCTGCCAAGTTACCTGTAGAGTTCTGCTTATAAAAAATGACTTCGCGTGCACCTACTTCTGCCTGCCAGGAACCTCTCTGCCTGTCATTCCTGACATGACAAAGATCAAAAACAGCCTCTTTCCCCATTTTTTTCACTGGGGCTAAAAGAGATTGGGGGCGGGGGATGGCTGAGCTGGGGCTGGAATCCTAGAGATGGAGAAGGGCAGCAAACAGATGGAAAGAAGGGGAACAGGGAAGGGGGTGTGTGTGCAGACCGAGATGTGGAGGTGTCCGGGGCTCCTCTACACTCAGTTCACCCAGGGGTAGGCTCGCTAGAGACTCAGCAGGCGGCAGGCAGGACCCGCTGAGGGGAGGTCGACCTGGGTGGAGCGGATGGCGGGGGGCGGGGCACTGGCTGCTGCAGCCCGGAGACGGGCGAGCCTTGGGGAAGCCGGTCGGGTTTGGGTTTCGCGTCAGGAAAGGTGTGCCTGGTTCAGAGAAGCTGGCTTGCAGAGGAGGGCGAGGGACGTGACCGCGCTAGGTCCCGGGGACCAGGCCAGGCTGGGGCGGAGGGGTTAGGTCGCACCGACACGCCGGGCTCCGGCAGCAGCTCCAGCGCGCAGGCCAAGCAGACGTGAGGGGACACAGGCAGCAGCAAGGCCGGATCATGCCGGTGATGGGTCCTCTCCAGGAGCAGCACCGCTTCTTCATCTCTCCCAAAAGCGGGTTGGTCAGCAGCCTTCATCTAGCTCGGGCTCTGCAGCGCAAGTTTTCCCGCGCAGCTTTTGCGCAAGCGCACTTGGAAGAGCGCGCCGAGCACAGGTGTGCGCGCTCCCTGTGCCCCGAAGCTGCCGCCGGCGCGGACGAGCAGCGGCTGCAAGGGTGGCTAATGGAGGCAAGGACTGTGGACTGTGTGTTTGTAGACCTCGTCAGGAATCGATGCTCGCTGTGTTGAAACGCATTTATAAAGCGGCTGTCAGATTCCTTGATAAAGGAAAGAAAATCAGTCTCTGCTATTATTTATTTGGGTTGTTTTGTTTTGGTTTTAGATTATTTTTCTGTATGAGCGTTTGCGTGCATGTGTGCGTGAGTGCCTGGTGTCGGCAAGTCGGAAGAGGAAGTCCCCTGGAGCTGGAGTTAGGGAGGACTATGAGCCACCGTTTGGGTGCTGGGAACCAAAACCGGGTCTTCTGCAAGAAAGAGTCTCTCAACCGCTGAGCTGTCTCTCCCGTCTGTTTATTTTGAGCTGGTCTCGAGCATATGCAGCTGAGGATGACTTTAAATTCCTGATTCTCCTGAGACTGAGGCAGGAGGACTGCGCCATCATTCCTGCTGTACCCCAGTTGTTGGAAGTCAGCAGTGCCAATCACACCCAGAGAGAGGGGGATTCCACAGGCACCAGCACCAGAAGGTAGAGATCACCGGAAGCTGTTCATAGGCTTACCACAGTGAGTGCTGTGGAGGAGGGAGAGATGAATTGCTGTAAGAACATCCTGCAGGCAGTGATGGATAAAACAGAACACACATTAAAACTTAACTGGGTGACAGGATTACGGGAGAGTTGTTTTTATGAGATAAGCAGATAGAGGACTCTGTGTGCTTGAGAATGATCTTGAATTCATGATCCTCCTGCCTCCACCTTCCAAATGCTGAAATTGCATTTTCTAAGTGCTCTTTAATGAGCATATATGGCTTTTATAATGAATTAAGTGGATAGAGGCTAAAGATAGCTCAATGGTACCGTGTTAGGGTCTGGTCTGGTACTATGTGTTCTAATGCTAAATACTGGCCCCCCCAAGACTGCTTGCCACACAGACAAGCACATTCTCGAGTATACCGAGTGATGTGCGAACCTTGTTCCCCGATTTAAAGTTGATTGGTTAGTAAAGCTGCTGAAGCCTGTAACTGTGCAGAAGAGAAGTAGGCAGAGCTTAGGTTCCCAGGCTTGGGGTCAGAAAGGGACGAGGAGAGAGGGGAAGCAGAAGATATAGCAGGAAGAGAATCGGGAGAAGTCACTCCGAGAAAAGGAAGCCTCCATGGGACAGTGTAGAGTGGACCATGAGCACGTGGCCATGGGGCTGTCCTGATGGAAGACAAGTGACCCAAATGGAACATATGGCAAGTAATACTGTATCTTGGGAATATGTATCTGGGAAATAACGAAATAGCTTAGAGGGTTGATAACTGCCCAGCTATGGTGCTTTAAAGCTTATCTAAATCTAAAGGGTCTCTATCTGTATTACTTGGGAACTAGCTGGGGTAGAGAAGCCCTCTGGAATCTAATGTCCAAGTTCCACAACAGTACAGCAGCACTTGCTTAGCAAGCACAAGGCAGAAATACCATAAGATTGGCTCTGAAGAGTCATGCTTGATTATATTGTTAGCTCTGGACTGCCCTGTGGCGGGCTAATACAACAGTTTTGGTGGGCAATACTACAGAACTGAGGCAGTGTGCATGGCCTTCCCGTGAAGTTTGTTCTCGGGCAGCAGGACTCCAGGATTCAATACCCCTGCCTTCCCCACTTTTTAAAGACACAGTCTCCTTACATAGTCCTGGCTGGCCTAGAACTATGTAAACCAAGCTGGCCTCGAATTCAGAGATCTGCCTGCCTCCCCCCCCTGAGTTCTGGGATTAAAGGCATGCACCGCCACATACATCTAGCTTTCCATTTTTAAAGTATTTTAGTGATTTTTCGGGAATAAATGTTTTACGTCTGTGTGTGTGCGCGTCTGAGTGTATGTATGACAACTGTTGTAGGAATTTATCTGGAATTAGCACTCGGACACCAATGGCCGTGAAAGAGTGATGCCACCGGTGGACCAGAGCTGCCAGGGCAGCTCCTGAAAGGCTTCAATGCTTGGGTCCTGTTTGCATTCTTATTTTACACTCTAAAACCACAAGGCAGGGCAACAAGCAAGCAAGATTTTACACAAGTGTACATGACAAGTCAGCAGGTTGTTAAGGACATCCATTGTTTCAGCTGTCCCTTACAGGTCATTCTGTTCCAGGTAGCAAGTGAAGTCATGCCTGGCAAGTGAGCAGTACAAGCAGTGCTATCAATAAGTCACAGATAAATTGGCAAGTCCCTATCTTAATGACTGGTCTTTTCTACCTTATTCTACTTCAGTACCATGTGTGCAGGAGTCCACAGAGGTCAGGAGAGGCTTTGAGTGCACCAGAACAGGAGTTACTGGCAGCTGTGAGCTACTTGATGTAGTCCAAGCTGGCCTTGAACTCACAGAAGTCTGCTTGCCTCTGGATCCCCAGTGCTGAGATTAAAGAAGTGCACCACAGCTCCTGGCTCTGTGTGTTGTTTTTGGTTGTTATTTTTGAGTAACTCCTTGCCTCCAGTTTATACTGCCCACATATCCTTGGGTATGGGGCCATACCCTAGAGTATGGACCTACCCCTTAAAGAAACCTGACTCTCCCCTCCCACAGAAGCCAGCAAGTAGCCATAGCACCTCAGGAGTGGAGGGGTTCGTGAAGCCTTTCCCACTCCATGCTAGAATGTAGACTGACTTGATCTTGCACAACTCTTGTACAGGCAACCGCCGCTGCTGGGAGTTTCTGAGTGGATTGGTCCTGTCAGGCCCAGAAAACACTTTCTCTCTCTTTAATTCTGTTCTTACAGTCCTTCTGTCCCCTCATCCTCAATGGTTTCTCAGCCTTATCAAGCCTCCCTTCTTTGTAATAATCAGTCTGAATAATAGTGTCTCATGAAGAGTACTACCCACTATCCAAACAACTGAGGCCAAGTATCCTGCTTCAGTCAGTATTAGTTTGGGAATGGGCAAGATAAAGGTATGATAAGAACCTTAGTGTCTTCCACCATCAGGAGCTGGGGAGCCTGGGGGAAGGGCACTAGCAAGGTAAGGGTTGGTAGTGGATGACACTGGACTGACCTATATTCTGCTAACCTTCAAAGCTTCTGTATAGAAGTGGCTTCTGTGCTGTCCACAAGTACCCCAAATCCCAGAAGAGAACAGTCAGACATCATACTAAGGGAACCTGCAGCCCTACAGGATCCAAATAACCAATTTTATTAGAGGTTCCTGGTACTACGGTCACTCGCAGACCTTCTCTGATATCAGAGACTCTGGGCCTGTGGCCTACTTTTTAAGGCCACACTGTCTGAGAAAGTATCTTAAGTTCCTCATAAAACCAAACTTTTGCGAGGCTGCTGGATTTTGTGGTGCCCCACTTGGGTTCCCAGGTGCCTCACATTCCTTGTAGTGCTCTGTCTCAGGAACAGTTAGCCCTGTTTGGAAATGCCCTGGTGGCTCAAGGTCCCTCTCCAGAGCAGTGGGGTTTCTGGTGCTGTCCTCTCTTGTAGATGGAGCACCCACTTTGGAAAACGAGTTAGGATTCCTCAGGGTGAGAATGGGGGCTGAGTGCTGGGGCAGCCATGGCATCTTGTTCGAGATGGTTATGCTCAGCCTGGCTGCAGCAGAGTGGATAGTCCCTTTGAAGCTGGAGCTATGTGCGGAGCAGGGGGAGGGACGCTGCCAGGTCCATCTGTCCCCTGTGTGTCCCATGCTTCCACTTCTTTGGTGTGTGGGCTGCTGACTTTGGAGCCTGGGGAGCTCAGAGGGTTCCTCTTTCCTGTGGCTGCGGCCCTCTGAACAGGAGGAGGCCCTCACTCTGCTGGAAGCCCTCTTTTCTGCATGGGAGACTCCAGGCCCAACCATTTTTCCGCCCCTGCTGTTGTCAATGGAAAGCTCTTGGGCTGGTCCTGGGCCACACCAGCTCCTAGACTGCGCTGCGGGCCTTGGCTTGCTGGGAGCGGGAACGGTGGCCTTTGGGGCCTCCTGGATCTGTGGTTCTCTGCCTCCCCCTTGTGGCCTGGTTCTCCTGGGTTTCTTAGGGGGAATGGAGCGGCCCATTGGCTCTAACCTGGATGGTCTACATTTCTCCAGAGCTGGAACTTGGGTAGAAAGTTTTGAGCTTTTTCTTTGGAGAACCGGATGGCTTTGAGACCTGCCCGGAGACTCGGGGCCTAAGGACTCACAATGCTGTTCTTGCTGCCTTTGGCCTTCCTGGTCTGTGCGTAGTCCGGGCAGCCTCACTCCAGCCTTTGGCAACGAGCAAGACTCTAAGAAGTGGAAAAGCAAGTAAGACTCCAGAATTCGTCGAGGGAAGCCCCACCTCAGGTGTGCAATCTTCCTCTTCATGAGGGATTCCAGGAGCAGATGTTGGCTCTTCTTGAGGGCTGGCCATTTGTGAGGGATGGAGAGGGCAGTCGGTCCACTTGCTGGAGCTGGGGCAGCTTGAGAGACTTGGGGACATAGGAGAGAGGGAAAGACAGAGGATGCCTGAGACTGTAGGTAGGGGTGCTGACATGTCAGCCAGGAGGCCTTTCCTGGATCCACCCTTTTGTCCCTTTCATGTCTTCTTTGAGATCCATGTTGGGTCCTCTGCAAGCTTACGTTGAGCCCACCTCTGTGCTTCCCGGCAGGGGCTGCGCCCTGGCTACTTAGGTGTTCTTCAGGACAGGGAGCAGAATCTGCACCATTTCCAGCTATTGGCTGCTTGTGTCTAGGGGTGTCGTACCCTGATGTGAGAGAAGCAGGCTGAGCCAAGCTGCACTTCCAGCATGTGGGTTCCACTCTCCCACAAGAGTCACCTTGGAGACTGGGCCGGGCAGCATCCTTCCTTCTGAGCTGGCCTTTGTCCCCTCTCCTTGAGGTATGAGACAGTTTAGCATCCTCAGCTCTGCATTTTCTCTGGACCCTTACATCCTGG